CTGCACCATAAAGCGTGACAGAGGTGCAATGCAGGTATACCATGTAGGTTTAATATGAATTCTTTACTCACACAAAAGCTGATATTTGAGGGATATCAGGGTCTGTATAGTGTCCCATCCGCTGAAAAATCTTGGGTACCATTGATGAAGGGTCTTTGGATTGTCGGCAAGCCTGAGATAGCACTGACCACAAGGTTGGATACCTCCTCTTTGGTTTTGGTTCATCTGCACCTGCGCTCACTGCCTGTGCATGATACCATCACCAATCTTGTGAAGGAGTACCTTCGAGCCTATTACATTGACCGCAGCGAGTTTCTAAATCAGCTGGATGTGACTTGGAAGGTTCAGAGGCAACAGAAGGTCATCATCTTCATATGCTCAACATAGTGTCAAAAATTTGATCATATGTATTTAGATTAAATTCAGTGGCTCTGAATCATTTGATATGAAGGATATTGGTCTCAGAATGTGACAGCAAAGGATGGCCCAACTACTACTACACAAACCCTGAAGGTGGTCTGACCTGGCTCATTATAGCTGATGGCATCACATGTGATGAAACCTGTATATATACACTTGGTGAAGGCCCCAGCTTTAAAACTCCTATGTGTGAAGAGAATTTTGCCTTTTCTGATCAAAACAAATAAAAGATGCTACTTGGCTGAAGCCAAAGTGTGGAGAATCCTATATAGGATACAAATTTCAAGAGTCTCGGCCGAGACCATTATTTTCAAAAACCCTATATAGTGCATCCTTGGCCAATGCCATATTTCAGAAGACCCTATATAGAATAGAAATTCTACTACCTTCGGCCAAGGCCAACATTTCTGCAAGAACTATATAGTGTATATTCAGCCAAGGCCAAAATTCAGATCTCTCTATATAGGTTAAAATTTGATGACTCCTGGCCGAGGCCACCATTTCCACAAGAACTATATAGGATATCTGTAGCTGAGGCCAAATTTCAGACAATCCTATATAGAATGCAAATTTCTTAACCCTTGGCCGCAGGCACTATTTCCACAAAAATCTATATAGGGTACCCTTGGCCACAGCCAAATTTCAGGAAATGCTATATAGGATCAAAATTTCATGTACCTTGGCCAAGTAGAACATTTACACAAAGATTCTATATAGGTCCACTTGGACAAGCCCAACTGTCTGCAAACTCTATATAGGATTGGAATTTTATGACTCTTGGCCAATGGCACTATTTCAGCTACAATCTATATAGAGAAATGGCGGCCGACCCCAAAATGCCTGATAACCTATATAGACTTTAAACTGCACCTCCCTTGGCTAACTCCCAAATATGCGACTCAGCCTATATAGCCTACTTATCTTGGCCAACCCTATATCTCCATCCTATATTATATTCTTGGCCAACACTTGGTTTTATGGAAATTTACACAAAATATTCCACCTTGGTTATATGGACATTTGGGTATATATTGGCTGAATGGGCTCCTTCGACTATGGCTTTACAGAGAGTAACATAAGTGGCTAATGTAGTGCATAAGAGGTGAGACAGAGGGTAGCGCGAAATAATGTAGATCAGCCGAAATACTACAGATTAGTCAGAGTCTGTCAGCTGTGAAAGGACGGTCAGGGAAACAGCAATAGGCATACCTAGAGGGCAGCCAGGTGGACATCAGGAGAAAGGGCAGTGAGCCCCTCCTCAGTCTGTCCATTGCATGTATCCCCTGTCCTAGTGCTGAGACTCCTCCGCCCGTGCGGGGTGGAGAAGGTTCCACTGCCGACAGAGGCGGCTGGTTTTTTGGCACGCCTTGGTGAGGGCGCGCAAGCCGGCCATAGCAGGCCCAGGCATTGCATTGATTAGGCTTGCTAAATAAAAACTATTAACCTCAACTAATCTCCAGTGCTCTGTGAAGAGGATGGCATGAGATTTAGCCGGTCACAGGCACCTGTGATGGCTGCTGCCCACCAAGGCCCCTCAGAGAAATACATTCCATGTTGTCGCCCTTCAACTATGCTAAAGGTCCTAAGAAGATGATTCGGAAGATGGAAGGAGAAAGGGAAGTTTCAGATAAGTTGATCGTGTGCTGCACGGCCATCAAAGAGAAACGCTTGGAGTAGGACAGGGTGCTTGCGTATGTAGGCTTCCCAGGCATCAGAAGTCCAACAGCCTGTGGCTTATATGACTGTAGGGGAAATGCCGCACTCGGCTAAAGATGTTGCACCTCCAGATCGCATGGAGTGACCTGCGATGTCAGTAGGAAAAAATGAACGCAGCTTTCTGATGAACCAAGCGTGGGTGGGGGGTCACCCATTAGAGTGGAGCCACAAATGGGGATGCCAGGGGAAAAGGCGGTCACGCGCATGTAGGTAAATGGTAAATGAAGACCAGGGATCGGCTACATGCATACAGTGTTTGACGAGAATACGGCTTCCCTCGTAGAGGCAATCATTTTTGCTTGTGGGGAGTAGGAAAGAGTAGGAGAACTCATCAAATTGAACAAGGTGGCGCTGTGCCAGGGAGCGAGGGTCTCGGAGCTGTGTATTGTCCGGCCAGACAAGTTCACCAAGGCACATGAGCATGTGAAAACCTGTCAGCAGCTGTGTGAGGAAGAGTTCATCGTCAAGTAGATGAGATTTGGTGAGGGCATTATGGATAAGATTGAGGTCGGAGTAAGTAAGCGCACACTTGCGGACAACTGCATGACCATATAAATGTAAGCAGCCCTTTATGGTGCGCTGCACCAGCATCGAGGCCCGAATGGTTCGCACAGCAGGGAAAAAAGGCTCGAGTTCGCTACAGATCCCAGAGAGGTAGTTATTCACCGATCTCGGGTTGATATGGTGACTCATGTAGACCGCGAAGAGGCTGAGTGTTTCTTCGGAAGGGTCCACGAGAAGGTTGTGCAATTTGCAAAAGTTAAGATATGAATTGAGGGCTGATGAGTAAGTTCCTTTAGTGGAACGGTTGAGGGCATGAGCCAGTGCTATGGAGCGTTCATGGATGAGGCGCTCCATTGTCCATGCCACTCGGGCGGGTTGTCTGGCCCGCCGTGCTGATCGAATCATTTTTTGTCTGCCCCCAGCGCATCTCGAGGGGGTGAAAATGGGAGTATGGTGATGTCAGGGACCAGGACCTGCACAACGTCGAAGCATTGGCGGGACAGAGCATCCACAACCCCATTTGTTTTGCCCGACACATGCCCAACTTGGAGCTGCATGTCCTCTGCTAGAAGCGCATCAACCACAGATTTTGCAATTGAATTGTAAGCTGAAAGGGCATGCAGGGTGTCAAAAAGTGTGACTGTGTTCGTATTGTCAGAGAATAGAGTGAAGCGAGTGATGCGGGGGGAGAGGTTGAATGCCGCAACATGAACAGCAGAGCAGGCTGCTAGCGCTTCAAACCAAAATATGGCACCCGTCGGTGTACTGCACGGTAAGTTGGACCAGAATCCGAGTTTCTGCCACAGAAAGTAGAGGCCAAGACCAAGGCCTGATGCATCTACAAAGGCGCACTCATGGGATGGGTCCTCTTTCATGACATCATCAGGTCCCCAGTCTTCGGAACCCAAAAAAAAACACCATTGGACTGCTCGATGTGTCGGGCCATCCATTGCAAGTCATGGATGATAGCCGAGTTGACAAATATGCCTGCATGCACACGAGATTTGTTCAACATCTTGGCATAAACATTGCACAACCCGGGCTTTAGGAGAGGAAATACATTAAAAGCCCAGTTTATGTAGCCAGCAAATGATTAGAATTCATGAAGGGTACGTCGGTGGTGCCCGGATGGGACATCACAGAATTGTGCAATTTCGCCAAGCAGTCGGGTTTTGGCATCAGGTGGCAGTGTAGCTGTCATTGCATTCGGGTCAACATCAACCCTGATAAGTGGGAGGACAGTGTCCCAAAGCTGTTTGGGAGAGTCGTGCGAAAGGCCAATTTCATCCCAGAGTTCGAGCAGTCGCACTTGTTGTGTGGGCATCCATTTGTGGCACCTGGAATAGTATCGAAGGTTGTTCCACTTATTGACACCATAAACATCATCAACCCAACTCGAGGGATCAACATCGCACTTGAATTTTGCAATCCAGAGCATAAGGCTAATGAACGCAGCCCAGATGGAGAGCGATGCTTGATTACCAATCACATTGCAATGATCGACATAGCAAGCCCCCTCAATGCAGACAGCTTGTTTTATCTGCCAATAGGGGGACATTGGGAGCCGATGATATGCCTGTGATACATCAGATTTCCAAACTACAAGTGGCGAGGAATCATCAGGCTGAGCATGAAGGTGACGCAAAATGCTGCCAAAGGTGGACATCCCATCCATCACTGTTTTGGGGAATGACTCCCTGTGGATCATGGAGTTGAGTGAGTACGGTCCTGCACTCTGGTCAGTAATGAGTCGCATCTTCTCGGAGTGCAGCTTCAGTATTGCGTGAACTGGCATTGAATACATGCCTGGCAGTAATGAAGTACCAAAGCTTCTAGACCAATGATTGGCCGCCAACTCGGTATCTCGAAGGTCACAGAGAAACCGCATTGCTTTGGGATCCGATATGGCAGGCCGTTTCTCATCCCAGATTTCCGGGTAAACAGCGGCATGTGTGTCTGCCCAAGGCCAGAATCCTTCTCGCAAACCACGGCACACAGATCGGACAAAATCAGGGTTTGGGTGATCATACAGTAATGATTTGAAGTGGTCAACATCAATCAGTGTGACTATCGTGAAAAGGTCAGGGTATTTCACCAAGGTGGCATTGACAGCCGAATTTCATTTCTCGTGCAAAGGAACATCGGGGAGTGGCGATTGAAATAATGATGTAAGAGCTGTTGCTTTGCGCACCGGATCTGTCCCTGATCATACCATGTCACGCAGGTAGCGAGGTCACCATTCTTCCACTTCAGTCCTTTTGCACGCAGTTCTTAGCGACATGTCCGGCGAGACAACATTTGGTGCACACATGTGCATAGCGACAGGTTGATGCCCCACTGCTGCATTTCCCTTCGTTGAGTCAGCGACACAGCTCTGTCGAATGGCATCTCACAGGGCCTGCAGTCCATGCTCCTCCACCACGGCTTCGGAGCGCTGCACCTGTTCCAGCCCCGGCATAGTCAAGGAACTGGTGCTTGAGGTCAATGAATTGGTCGAAATCCATGAGTCGTAGGTTTCGGTGTTCTCCAACTCTCATGCATATTGCCCGATCATAGTCGAGGATTCGGTCCCAGAACTCGTCGGCAGTGGCTGCCAAAAGCTGCATGATGTATTTGCCATATTCAGCGAGTTCAGTTTGTCGATGCTGGAAAGCATAGCAGGTGGCTGTAGTGGCCATATCCCAGGCGATGACCCAATCTCCGACAGACTGGACTCGCTTCGCCGGTGTGATATTCTGGTGCGTGATCTCATACTCCCCCACCTTCTGCCTGTGTTTCTCCTCCTGAACTGTTGAGTAGCGTCCACTAAACACATGGTCAAGGTTGACCGCTCTTCCGGTGAGAACATTGGCCCACTCCCCTTCGGGGAACTGAGGCATTCCCACAGAGGTGAGGAGATTCAATTTTGTAAACTTGAGGTCGAGGGTGTATTCCCTGATAAGCTCGACCGTTTTTCCTCAGGACGTCGTGCACGGCCCAGTCAAATTTTCTGGGGTTCGGCCATTGTCTCTTTCTGGGCTCATTGTCGAACTCATCCCCGCTGCCAGATCCAGTAGGTGAGTGGGAATGCGGCGTCGTTTGTTCGGCGGTGTTAGCAGTTGGTTGGGGCGAGTGTTCGACTTCCTTTTCATGACCGCCCTCAAGCTCGTCTCCTCCGGATCGCAGCTCTCGCTGCTCCCAGTCATCAACTCTGCACTCTCGGTTGTGGGCATTGAGGAACTCCACGTAGGCCTCCAGAGCCTTGTCTCGGTAACTTTCTCCTTCAGCTGGCTCAGGGGCTCGAAGGATGATGTCCGAGAGATCTCGAATTGCTTGGACTCGACTGACTTGCATCTCGCAGTATTGTTGAACAACACCCATGCACTCGACTCTGACATCGTTCTCCTGTGCAGAGAGTCCGATTTTGGGGGTGGACGACCGGTGGTCTGAAGCTGTCTGCGACTCGGCATTAGGCATAGGTGATTTGTAAGATGGTAGATGGGATCAATCTGCCACTATAGCACGAAATAATGTAGATCAGCCGAAATACTAGAGGGCAGCCAGGTGGACGTCAGGAGAAAGGGCGGTGAGCCCCTCCTCCAATTTTATTATTTTATTATTTTAATAGTGATTCATAAGATGGTAGATGGGATCAATCTGCTACTATAGCACAAAATAATGTAGATCAGCCGAAATACTACAGATCAGTCAGAGTCCGTCAGCTGCAAAAGGACGGTCAGGGAAACAGCAATAGGCATACCTAGAGGGCAGCCAGGTGGACATCAGGAGAAAGGGCAGTGAGCCCCTCCTTAGTCTGTCCATTACATGTATCCCCTGTCCTAGTGCTGAGACTCCTCCGCCCGTGTGGGGTGGAGAAGGTTCATCTGCAAAGGTGATTTTCTCACTGTAGAACCATCTCTTTTATGTAGTCCTCGGTAGAACTGCCCACCTACAGAGTGCTATGTAGGACCACATAGCAAAGTGATCGCTATGTAGGACTCTGTAGAAATTCGGTATCTAGAGTGGCGGGCCGACTGCTTATTCTTCCCACGAAAATGTTCTCACGCTCCTACTCCGATTCCCAGCCACCGACACTACCCCCGCAGTCTGTGTCGTGCTCAAAAGCTCGACTAAGTCCTTACACTGCTAGACACTGGATCTGTAATTTTTGAGAGGAAATTGTGAACTGTGGATTTCCGGCGGAAAAAGCCAGAGAATATCCAGAGGTCAACAAGGCTTGTGGATAACCACAATTTGGAATGCTGAAATCTTCCGTTGGGTCCGCCATAGCCTAGAGGCAGATCATATGACGTAGGGACTTAAGAGTTTGAGACAAGTGCACGGTGCGTGACACTGAAAGTATTATCACCCAGGGGCACCATGGCACTACGAAACTCTCAATGTAAGTTCACGTTGGCTATGCAGAGGACATTATATTAATATTCCACAGTTTTTACACATTTACCACACCGCGCCCAATGGAGGTGCGAAATATGTCTGTCGCAAGCCTTCCAATCCCTCTCGCTTGCTCGGCGCCATGAGGACACTGTTAGCCATGTCCTCCAGGTTAGGCACTGAGATTCTGAAAATCCAATGTCAAGCCCACTGGGTCTCTCGCAGTCCTACCCTCTCGTAGATGAAGACGCTCTCGACGAGCGACTCAATGAGCCATCAACTGAAGACGATGCACAGCCGTCAACATCGCAGCTGCATCACAGCCCTCCTACTTCACAGGAAGATCGCTGGCTAGGGAGTGATCCCCTTTGGCTGCCGCCCATGCTGTTTCACTCCAGTGAGTTCGATAACATCTCCACCTGCAATAACGCACCACCGGTTACGGTCCATGGTCCTGCCCTTCCCAGTGATCATCTGCACCAACTTTATGATGACTGGGGTGGCATCGTGCATCACGGTAGACCAGGCATTGAAGAAACTGAAGATGCGCAACCCCCGACGCTTGCGCAGCGTGCGAGAGAGATGGCGGGGCTTTAGAATGACAGTTTTGATGTGGAAGCTACTGTGCAGTGTGATGCTGAAGGACTGCAATCCTTTGCAACATGGCAGATGGATTCTTTTCAGGAAAGCTTGCGTGAGTTCAGCTGGGGTACACTAGAGGCATGCATGCTTACTGGATACTGTAGAGCATGGTCCGGAATATATTAGAGAACTTTTTGCTAAGGAAGGATGGTGGCCATGGCAGGATAAAGAAGTAAGCAAACTTGAGTTGAAGTTGGATGAGGCTAACCGCGAAATAGCATTGCTCGCTTGATGTTCTGGGTAGCTTTCCAAGAGCAATGTTCTCCGAGCGTGAATTGGAGGCCGTGAGGTGGTTCGGGACCAAGAATGGCATGCACAATCTGCCTAGTGTTAAAGAGGTTAAGCGCGGGCATGAAAGTGTCGTTGAGATTGCGGGTGGGAACACACAAACTCACGAGTCTGCTATGAAGAATATGTATGCCATGGCAGACTTCCAAACTGTTATTGAGCATGTAAGTCAGCTATAGTCCTTGTAATATGCAACTGTCTAACATACACAGGAATTTGCAAACCCGATGGTGCAACATCACATACACACCATGCCAGAGGACTCTGGTGATTGTTTGGGAGAATGCCGACAGGCAGCACGATGGCGCCTGGAAGCTGATGCAAATATAGCCTGTCCGATGGCATGGGGGAAAGATGGTAAACATTACTTCATTGAAGAGGTCGCTATGGCCAACATGGACTCGTATGGAACTGTCAGCCCGGTTATGATCAAGCGCTGGTGTGAGAAGGGCGGAGAGCTTTGGGCGAGCATCAATTCATTACTGCTGTGGGCAGATGGATCCAAATTTGTGGTAGATTGTCGGCAGGGAGCGAACAAGGAATTGCGTCTGGATGCATTCTTCTTATCTGCGAAAGAGTTGATGTTGCCAGAAATTCAGTGTCAGTATGGGCTCCTATCACCACAAAGCATCAAAGGTCAGTGCACACTTATCTACATCATTATGCTCAGTCTGAGAATGCATGTCATCAGGGATTCTTTCTTCCGATGATCCACGAACACCACTGGAGTCATGGGACCATCCAACGCTCAATCCATGGCGTGAACGTGCACAGGGAAAGCGGGTTTTGTCACTACCAATTTGGCTGTATTGTGACGACACATCAGGGAACAGGAGTAAAAAGTGGAACAAACATAACTCACTACTGTTCACACTTGCAGGTTTGCCATGCTCATTGGTTCACCTGATGTATAACATCCACTATCTTGCCACTTCAAACATTGCTGCACCACTAGAAATGGCTGAAGAACTAGCAAGTGTCCTACGGTATTTGGCATCGCCAATTTATATGTGCCACGAGACTGAGTATTGCATCTATAGGGAAACACGCGAGCATGGCATTGAGGTCTGGGATTGTAAATATGACGAGACAGTGCTCGTGGTTCCTTGGATCCTCGCATTTCTTGGGGATAACCCAATGTCAAGTGAATTTGCATCACACATCGGCATGAAAGGAAAATGCTTCTGCCGCACTTGTATGGTCAGAGGTGCAGATGATCAGAATCGTGAGAAGAGACTTGCGGGTGAACGAAGTAGGATAGATGACTTCATGAAGGTCAGACATTGCGACTTTATCCATTATTCCTGCTAAGCTGATTACTAATAGAGCGGGGAACCATGCTCAAAGGAAAACACCTTGGCCAATCTCAAGCAGCAATTGAGGCGTGTCCTTGGTGGTGCTCCAAGTGCAGTGGATGACATGGCGACACAGTCAGGAACCAAGGATAAGTACTTTCACATGTTCATGGCACAGCTGCAGGACGCTGTCAATACTGTGTGTGCGCGTCAAAAGGGAGCTCCACCACCTCAAGGGATGACAAAATCGGAAGAGTTACGACAAACCTTGGCAGCTGTGCATGCAGAATTGCCGGACAATTTGTTCAATCTGGTACTGTTCATTCCAGGTGAGTACTAGTGGTTAGTACACTGGTATACATAACAGCTCACCTAGATTATATAAGACTTTGATCCCAACCAGGATTCACCATTTGAGGCGCTTCATGTGGTCTTGTTAGGTGCTGTGAAGTACTTTTGGCGTGACGCAGTTTCTCGACAGACATCGGATGGTAAACAAACTTTGAAGATTCAGCTTGACAGTGCAAATGTGTCAGGACTGGGCATCTCACCACTGCGTGGTACAACCTTCATACAGTACGCTGGGTCTTTGGTTGAACGTGACTTCCGTGCCATTCTGCAAGTGGCTCCGTCAGTGTTGCATGGACTGATACCACCTAAGGCCTATGAAGCTTGGCTTGCATTGTGTCGTCTGGCCCCTCTTATCTTCCAGCCGGTACTTGAAAATCTGTCGCATACAGGATTGCGGGCCCGAATCATTGTATATATGAAGGTAGGTGAATGAACAAGTGAAATTTTGGCTTGTTGAACCATTGGGTGGACCACAGTGCTGTTGCCGCCATGAAATCCATGATAGCATTCTCGAGACGTGTCTACGAAGCTGAGATAAGTGAACTGCACATATACATTTCATTAGTATCTTACCAGGTAGTCTGGTAGAGGGCTTCGAGTCATACAATTTCATCATCAGACTGCGCAGTGTGCACTCAAATCGCCATGCACCAAGTCATGATATCGCCAAAGTGTTCAGTTTCCTGCACGCTGTGCGACACTTGACCAGTGGGGGCTTCGTGTACAATTGATCAATGCCTGGTGCCCCTATGAGAGTTCAGGCAGGAGATGGAGTTAGAGGCCTGGCAGATGACCAAATTTTCAGGTATCTGATGGGAATGGAGGGGATGCTAGAAATGCAGGGTACAGGTTAGTGCGGTCTTGAAAATTATATCGTGATCTCACAGCAGGAATTTTGATAGCGAGGCACCCGCAGCTGCTTAAGGATGCAAAATGTGCCTTTGTAGACACACTTACAGCTAGCGCAGGATTTGGCAGCCTCAGTGTACTTGCAATGGATGTACTGTGATGCCAGTCACTATCGTTAGCAAATAGTGATCGAGCAGCCATGGGCACATGGGTTTTTTACCGTACCACGCCCACCTCGGACATTCAGTGCGGGCGAGTCGAAGAGATCTTATTGCGTGGGGCTGATCATGCACTCCTGAGACTCCTATTGATGGAAGGCAAAATCGGCTCTGTTTCTGTTCTACCCTATCGACTCCCATCTTTGACACCTGTCGCTGGCTGCTATCATTTCGTCACCTTGGATGTCAGTTACTCATCAGACTGCTGCATGCTCTTCCACTGAAAAGACTTACTATAGGACATCAAGGGCACTGCTAATACTTTTCACAACTGTGCCAACCATGCTTGCCAGGTGATGAAGACGAAAGCCATCGCACAAGAACGAGTGCAGATGGCTGAAAAAGTCTCCGAATTAACTCACCAAGGCCCTGAAGATTTAGTGCTCAACCTCGCACAGCTCACCAATGCCCTAATTCTCCAAGTCTTCAAACCTCACGAGCGATATCCTGCTCTGGCACATTATGAACTCATTGAGCATGCGGTGGCCAATCAGACGCACCTGAATGCAGAAGTCGAGCAGCGCAAAGCAGAGGCCCTTCAACGCAAGGAGGACAATCAGCAAAAAAGAGAGGAGAAGAAGTGTAAATGACAGGCCTTGGAGAACCTGGAGTTGCAGCCAAAGACATCGAGCGGTATGGATGCAATGGTTGCAAGTGCTGATGGACCATCTGTGAAGAAACGTGCTATATAGTTCACAAGCACTAGGTAATGCAACCTGCACTAATTTCGCTCTGTGGTTTGGGCAGAGCATGGTCGGAGATCATAGGGCATCATAAAGAGGGTTCGTTAAAGGTGTGGGAGAATAAAGGTCACAATCTGAAGCGAGGTACAAACTTGCCATCTTTGGACATGATACTGAACGCTAACCTGCTAAAGTGCGCTGTTGCTCATTGCACTCGGGTCTCACAATCCACTGTTACTTCCTATGTACTTACCACACATTTATTGATTTTCTGGACAACTTTGCTGGCATTTAAACACTCTGACACCACACACTGCCACCCACGCACCCGTCAAAATGATCAACAACATCGCCGAAGTTCAACATCAATCCGCAGGTGATTGCGGACCTTATAAAGTTTCCACTTTGTTACCCGTGATACCAGGTGTAGATAGACATTTTCGTGAGCTGAGTGTACTCAGACATCCATCATTTTTCACATCACCACGTGGGCTCTCTAGCTGCTGTATCGACTGGGCTAACTCTCTCATTATTGCATGTGTGTAGTCTAACTGAGTGCAAGCGGAGACCGTTCACAGGTGAGCTTTCCATTCTGTGAACTCGACAATCCACACAATCCCAGTTGGGAAAGGCATTTGCTTTCGTGGTGTGGGCCAATGTAAAGGTTTGTCATCATCCCAATTTTCTCACTCCGAGTCGCTCACCACTCTGCCCCTCAGAAATGCATTCTGCTGCCAGCAATCAGCTTCCACCAAGGACTCCTGGTCCTTTTCGAGTCCATCGCACTTCTGACTCGAGATATCTTCCCTATCCAACGCTGCAGCCTCGCTCAACTTGCACCGTACCTGGCCGTCGCAATGTGTTACAACCTGCAGATGAAAATTCCCCGCCGTCAACCCTCATCAACACTGTGGGATGTTCTGGCGACTCTCCCCATTCTGAATTGTATCAGTCCTACTCGAGTCCCTGCGGTGGTGGGCCGGGAAGTCTCAGCATGTCCTCAGAGTTAAATTCTCAGGCCTCCACCACCGTCCAACCACAGCGTCTGGATGCCATAATTGATCAACTTCAACTCGGAAGCATGCACGACCAAATCCATGCATTTGCGCAGGTATGTACATTGATTATTGTCAGCACAAAAATTTTCATACCCTCCTTTCCTTTGATCAGTGCCCCCTTTCCGAGCAAATTGTCTACATGCATTGCCTGAATTTGTCCTCGACGAAGTGCATCGAGATGCAAGATACTGTCACACGGATCTCGTGGAAATGGTAATGACCATTGAGAGAAATGTGCGTCAAGGCTGGATGCCGTCAGCTGCACAAGAGGTATGTCCTTCCTTCTGGCTGTCATTCTAAGGTCAATGTACTCACTTGTGTCTCTGACAGGCTATTCTAAAGGCTTTGATGGGCCATTGGCTCGTTAAGCCTCTTCACAGCTATCTCAAGGTCTACAGTCGAGTTGCTGTAAGCACTTTGTCTCTTGCCAACCAATCTGTGGTGCTGATCGCACCACAGACATATGTCCACTATCGTGCAGAATGGCTCAGGATGGGCATCTACGTGACTGACCCGGTCGCTCAACACCTTGTTGACAAGTTGCTGAAGAAGTTTGCAGGGGAGCTGAAGTGTGTCCTGTGCAAAGAGGTATTATTGTTTTGTTCCATTGCCGTCACTATTAATGCCTTCCATCGTGGACCCAGATCATTGCATCTATAATGACTAAGCAGCAAACGCTCATGCAGTTCGCATGTGCCACAGTTGAAAAGTATCATCTGCCGGTCATTCCCAACCCAATCCCTCAGAGTATCTTGGCAACTCTGGCCATGCTGGTATGTGGACTCTTTATCTTCGTAAATTTTACATGCTGCTCAGTTATCATTACAGCATGCTGTTGGCACTGACAAAGCCAGTGCGAAGGATGAAACCAGATACTGGAAACTCGTTGAAGAGAAACTTGACGCACTTTACAAGTGCATGCATCATCTTCGTAAATTTTACATGCTGCTCAGTTATCATTACAGCATGCTGTTGGCGCTGACAAAGCCGGTGCAAAGGATGAAACCAGATACTGGAAACTCGTTGAAGAGAAACTTGATGCACTTTACGAGCGCATGCATCAGGAAAAATCGGCTTTGCTAGGTAGACCTATGTAGCCTCTGTAGCAGTGATAGCGCGATAGGAAAGTCCCCGTCTTCCTAAACCTCCAGAGTCACCCGCATGGTCCCGATAGTATACTGTAGTCGCCGCGTGTGTCTAGCGAGTGCTATGGAGCACTACCGATTTTCAATGGGCTGCTCAGTAGTAGTCTTAGTTCAGGTGCTCAGGAGGTGAATTCTTGCTCTATAGCTCACAGTAGTACTCCAAAGCATGTATGAAACCAATAAATTAAGTGCGCAGAAATCATACTAAGGATCAGAACTGGAACTAGTACATGATCAATCATCTTCCGCCTCGCTATCCGTTTCCCCTGTGTGTCCCTGTAACTCCTTCTGTGCATCCTCGATTGCTGCAGCCGACAAATGCCCGGTTGGCGCATCATCATCTGCAACACCTGTGGCACGGCTGGAGAGAATGTTATCGAGGGACATGAGGAAGCCGAAAACAAGTCCTTATCGAGCGCGGTCATGCCATTTCTTACACAGGTTGCATACAACACCAGGAGATGGTCGCGCCCACTTCGCGATGTCTTCCATGTGGTTCAGATACCGTGGCTTATTCTCAAATTCCGAGAATGCTACCTGAGCATGAATGCCGGTAGACCACTCTTCGATGCAGTGTTCAACCTATCCATGAAATATGAGCAGCCTCAAATTGAGCCAACAGTCTGAGTCTACGCACCCCGGTCAACAACAGAGCTAGAGTCGGCGTGCGAATCGGGTCAAAGTATTTCCGAAATTTGATACCGACGGAGTTCTTGTTCTTGAAAAAACATTCCTTGATCAACTTCGTGACAATGGTATTGCGCAGGAAGCCGGAATGACTTCCCACGTCCAGATCAAAGTCCTACGAGAATAAGAGAACAGCCCAATTGGAAATAATGAAGAGAACGTATTTTGTAATGGAACGTTGATTCGTGTATCAGACCTTGATAGAGCTTAACGTTCTTTCGTTGAGCTGCTGGTTTGTCGCCAGGAACAAATCCATAAGCAGCAGCAATATGCTTGCGAATCTCGTCGATAAGGTCTCCGTGTGCATTTGATTTGCGGCTTATAATCTGTGGATGGGGTCAGATTCAACGCGCAACAACAGAGAAAAGAAGACATAAGATGCTTATCATCCTCTCCGACAACTCATACTCCTCTCCTTCTCCGTGAGTGCGACAAGTCTCGGACCAAAGTTCGCGGGCCCACTAAATAGTGATGTCAGTATCGGGGAACCCTTCCACTGCGCAGATGCGGCAGCTGAATTCGTGACATGTCTTGAGCAGCAAAGTCATGACGTCATCTGTATATTGAGAAGCCTTCGGACGCCCGCTTGGAGACTCATCGTTGATGAATTCTGCGCCTTTCAATGCCTTTGTGACAGGGGCATGTGAGGAACCTGAGCGTGCCATGGAAGACTTTGGGCAGTCTTGAGTTGATGCGGAAAGAGAATTTGAGCCTCCCATCGGGCGGTGCCACTTGTGAGTGGTTGTGCGGGGGGTAGGAGTTGCACAGACATCAATGTTCTCTGGGTCCGAGGAGTCCAAGACCATTGGCTGAGATGGTGGATGGTTGCGCATGGATGAAGTGTCATCCTGATCTAGGGGTGTATTTGTCACTGTGGCCAGAGAGTCGGACTGCATCGAGTGCCAGTTCGGGTCTTGCAAGGCTTGTGTAGGCAGTGTGGCCACTGCATGCACCGAGCCTTGACGATGCAGGTGTTGAAGGGTCACTTGAGGGTGCTGAGTTAGTTTAGCCTTCTGAATGAGAATTGTCACAGCAGGGCCCTTTCTGAACTATTGGCGGTAGCATGGCCGCCGTCAAAATGATGTAAGTTCGTGTTAATAAGCAAACAACAGAATGTACCGAAGATATGAGGTTGATGCCCATTTCAGCATCACTGGCCGGCTCTTCCTCCTCAGCAGGTATCCTCTCAAAGTCATCTTCAGTCGGTGCTTGTGCGACAGCTAGCGCCTTCTTCTGCTTGGCGAGCTGTTTGTTCGCATTGGTGAGCTTCTTCTGGAGTTTTGTGATTTGCACCTGGGCGACAATGACTTCATGTTCATCTGCAGAGAGATTCATATGACGATCTGTGAGGCCGCAGAGTGCTCACCTATCTCTTTCTACTTCTTCGAAGCCTTACGGGGCCGCTTGTTGCACGGAGATGTTCCCGTTGTTTTTGCAGTCTTCTTTGGTCATTCAACTTCTGATGCCACGCTGGAGTCCTCAGAGTCAGTTGGCTCGGAAACAGGAGAGGTGTGTGGTTTGCATTTCAGCATGATGGTGAATGGAGTAGCAGAGTGACTGAGTGTTGAACTTGCCATAAATGTAAACAATGAATGACCACACTGTGGCCACGCCATGTTGACTGGTGCCAGCGTTCATTTACCTGGTTTAACTGTTGCAAATTCAGCGAAATCTCACCTCTCTACTAAACTCTCTCATATCCCAAGATGCCATTCGATGCAGAAGACCTGCCGGTGGATCCTCCTTTGCAAACACGCACTTCAATGGAGATAGAAGAATTAGTACAACTGGAACATCCTGCACAGCTGCATTCATGACGTGTGACTGTTGAGGAGGTGGAAGATGAGGAGTATGGGGGCTTACCGAAACGTCCCTGGATCCAAGACTTCCCACCAGAATTTGATGTGGCTGCTGTCCTTCGTGAGGCGAAGACAGAATTTGAAACCCTGCGCGATAAGAAGGCAGCTGCAGGGGAAGAATCCTGGCATCCATTTGCCAGTCGGGATGAGTGGGAACTCACGCACTGGCTAATGACTGCGGGACTCAGTCAGATGGCTACCGATAACTATCTAAACTTACCCATAGTGAGTCTGCTGATTCTCTCAGGCTGTGAGCTAAACTGACATGAGAACTTCAGACCCGAGAATGCACGAACCTGTCATTCTATAACAAGCGCGCCTTCTATCAGAAGATCGATGCACTTCCACAGGGGCCCTCCTGGTCATGCGAGCCTTGGGAAGTCACTGGTGATTTGCTGGATGAAAAGGGTCAGCCTTGCAAAGAGACCCTAGAACTGTGGAAGCGTGATCCTGTTGAATGCATCAAGGAACTGATCGGCAATCCCGCATTCAAGGATGCGATACGATATGCACCAGAGAAAGTCTTTGCAGACTGCAATGGAGACACCAGGATCTATGATGAGACATGGACAGGCCAGTGGTGGTGGGACCTCCAGGTACGTGCAGATATTCACTCAAATATAGTATCAGGCAGTGAACTGACCTTGTGCCAGGAAATAATGCCAGACGGAGCGACAATTGCACCTGTGATTCTGTCATCCGACAAGACACAGTTGTCAAACTTCAGTGGTGACAAGTCTGCATGGCCAGTTTACCTCTCCATTAGAAACATCGGGAAGTCGACTCGACGTCAACCCTCGGCACATGCCACGATCTTGATCGGCTATCTCCCAGTCACAAAGCTTGAATGCTTCTCAGAAGGGCAAAGATCAATTGAGGGTGTGCGTCTATTCCACTCATGCATGAGGTCACTTCTGGACCCTTTGATCAAGGCCGACAAGGATGGCGTTGAGATGGTCTGTGCCGACAGATGTGTGCGAAGAGTGTACCCTATTCTGGCAGCATACATTGTGGATCACCCTGAGCAATGTCTTGTCTCAGGTTGTCGTGAAAGTCACTGTCCAAAGTGTACTGTCAGTCCAAATCAGCGAGGAGAACCACTTCACTCTCTTATGCGCGACCCTGATGTCATTGAAACTGTGCTGTCGGAGGCCTCTCAAGGACTCAAACCAGATAATTTCAAGGACTTGGGCCTGAAATTGATTGATCCATTCTGGAGGGAGCTGCCACACTGTAACATTTTTGCATGCATAACCCCCGATATTCTCCACCAGTTACACAAGGGTGTCTTCAAAGACCATCTTGTCAACTGGGTCACTCAGTGCATGAATGGAAATGCTGCTGAAGTTGATCGACACTTCAAAGCTATGACAACTCACCCAGATTTGCGTCACTTCAACAAAGGCATATCACTGATCTCACAGTGGATGGGCGCAGAATACAAAAATATGGAGAAGGTTTTCCTAGGTGTTATAATGGGAGCAAGTGACCCAGCTGTTCTTTGTGCAGTGCGCTCCGTCTTGGACTTCATTTATTATGCTCATTTTGAGGCACATACTGATGATTCCATTGCCAAACTTGAAGCTGCCTGGAAGGGATTTCATGCAAACAAGCATGTCTTTGTGGAGAAGAGCATCCGGAAAGATTTCAACATACCAAAGGCCCATTCAGCGGAGCACTATGGAGGGTCCATTCGCAGTCTTGGAACAGTGGACAGATTCAATACTGAGAACTCAGAGTGCCTTCACATTGATTTTGCCAAGCGTGCATACAGTGCAACAAACAAGAAGGCTTACCTGAAGCAGATGACAGCCTGGTTGACATGACAGGAGGCCGTTCACAGGTTTCAGGTATATCTGCAGTGGGCAGAACCACCACGACCCAAAAAAACTCAGGCAAAGGGCAGATCAACAGATACAGATGCGGATCAAGGAGATAACGATTCAGAGGATGCTCCGCTGTCATACTCAATTGCCAAGCAGCTCGGATTTGGGCAAAAGACAGTCCGAACATTGATTAAAGATTTTGGATATACTGATTTCTTGCATAACCTTGAGGATTTCCTCCGAAAATCCACATGCAACCACCAAGTTCCAATTGCTGCTCAAGGGATGCATGACAGGACACGGTTTGCGGTCTACAAGTGGATGCAAGTCAGCCTTCCAACAGCACGGCAAGTCTCACATACCCCGAAAAAGGACACTATCCGTGCAACACCAGCAGTTCCAGCGAGGGCATTGCAGAAAGAAGTCCCAGCTCATTTTGACACCGTTATTGCACGCGAATTTCCCGGAGATCCATTTGACTCCAACAAGAACAAGACTCCCCTGGAAGGTGAATTCAGTACATGCTTGTCATGAGAATGATTCTGACATACCATCCAGATTTGCGTGTTGCACGCATTCGTGCAATTTTCAGACTTCCGAAAGAGTATGGTACACAATTCAAGCATCCCTTGACCTATGTGGAATGGTTCACACCCTTTCACTCACCGGTTCCAGATATTGGGATGTACAAGATTGCGTATTCATGTCGAAACAATCAACACCGGACATCAATTATACCGGTGACACAAATTGTTCGCAGTTGTCATCTGATACCACAGTGGGGGAGAAAGATGATATATTCTTGGACATCCGCTGAGGTTCTCGAGCAAGCAAATTTCTTCTATGTAAACCCATACCTGCGTCATGAAGATTTTCTCCTGTTCCGTTACTTACATGATTCAAATACATAAGATTGCTGGTGAGACTGAAAGGGGATCGTGCCTCAAGTAGCATGGAAATGAACTTCTCCACTTCTGATGTCAGTGGGGGAGGTCAATCACATGTCTTCTATCATTTGACTGCCCATGCAATATAAGGACACGTCATACAGCCCCTCCGACACTACCTAGTACTATAGTGAAGCACACCACTACTACCTAGAACTCTGGAGGACTATCTTGCAGCTACCGGAAACTACCGAGCCTAGGGTGACTAGAGAGATGAGAGGTGGTGCTACCTAGGATTGCGTTTTTCCTGATGTGAGTGACGGGCGAGGGTCATCGCCTGAGTGGCTCACATGGGTTCAACATCTCTAAGCATGAAACATGACTAACAAGGTCTTGACCAGGTGGGAGACAGGTCTCGTTGCTGCGGACAATCAAAAATATGGTTCGGTAGTGCAATTGACTGCGGCAACCTTGCGCACACAAGTCGGCGCGGTGCTCAGCATGCATGCACCTGCTGCTGGCAACACTCAGGAGCCCACATACCCTTTGGCACAAGACTTCGAGGCTATCAGTAACACTGGTGATCTGGAGGCTGTTATCGAGAGTCAGGGGGGCAATGTTGTGGGGCTTGAGTTCAACGTTCTACAGAACAGTATCGCCCATCCCGTGGAGTTCCCGCTGCACACAATGGATGGTGACATTCAATTGGCTCAACTCGGGGACATTGCAGCAACCATTGCATAGCTGCTTAGTTATTAAATATTGACATGCACACCGCCCGAAAATGTTATCTGTTTATTGGTGTCGAAACCGTTAACTTTAGCTGTTGGTTGCGAGCGCGCCAGCAGCACCAGGACGTATACCTCTGAGAATTACATAATATGTATGTACCTTCCTCTTTCAATGCTGAACCGGATGGAATTGTTAGAATCTACAAGGCTTGTTGGCCTCTGGAAATCCTCAAGACTGAACTCCGGAAAACTACTGGGCCGTCCACCTGTCAAATCCTAAAGTATCCTGTCTAGCGGTGTACCTTCCGGCCCTAAACAAGCTTGAAGACTAATGTATAACCCGCCGCCATTCACTACTCTGTCACTTAAGCATCTCCTCTTTCTTCGTCTCTTTTTCCACTCCCCATTGCTAACCTTGGTGTACAATAAACACTATACTACAGACTAGGAGGCATACTCAGTGAAAGCTCTTGGATCCAACACCGGTGCCGTTGAGGATCTGGCAACCATGCAACTTCTGGAAGAACTTACCGCTGTTGATAGTTGACTTCGTCGTGATGGAGGTGGAGTGAGGGGTTTTGTAGAGCAGCTGGAGGCCGCGAGTTGAGGGTATTAGAGTATGTAAAACTACGGCGACCGTGCCGACAAAAGGACCACCATGTCTCACTGTCGTTGTAATGTCACACCACTTTTTCAATGTAATTGATTGTCCATATCGTATTTTTCAAACCCGGCGATATCCTGAAATGAAGTTGCTGGCGGCGGCCTGAGAGCCAATGGATGTGCGCATACGTGCCTATCTAGGAATCGTGCTAACTGTAAAAGGGATTCCTAGCCGATCCTACAGACCTACAGCTCCTACGCGAGCCTACAGCTCCTACAGTCCTCAGAAACTACAGCCCTCGCAAGGTCTACGGTAGAAAACCCTGTTCTATAGAGTCCTACATAATTTGGGACATTGCTACAGGCCTCTTGGTCCTACGCGAGCTACATAGCACTACATAGGTATTGTTCTTTTTCCAGATGTGCCGACAGCGGCGGCAGGTTTTTCGGCGCGCCTCGGTGAGGGCGCGCAAGCCGGCCATAGCGGGCCCAGGCATTGCATCGATTAGGCTTGCTAAATAAAAACTATTAACCTCAACTTACAGGATCCGCCGAGTGAGTGATGATGATGATGAACTCGGCATTTATATACCGCAACAAGCAAACAGAGTGCTAAGACGCGGTGAACTCCGGTCTGTACATGACTAACTACAGTACGACGGGGAGAACGTCCAGGTGGAGATTGGTTCTGGTAGGTACCGTGTGAGGTTTATATAGTAGATAAAAGTAGGGCGGGGTACCGCCGAGTGAGTGTTAACCCATAGTACTTGTGCAGGTATGTTTGGACATGTGTGGCAAGAACTTCTGAATTCAATAAGGACAAATAAACTCGGCTGGTTGGAGAAATGTTTTTGCCGATATTGAGCGGGTGACCGACGCCCGAGACCGGTGTCGTTGATATGCTCTCAGTCAAGCTTTTGTCTGTGTCTCTTCGTTGCCTTATACCACCATCGGCCGACTGGTATTTACTATGCAGGACTAGCTGAAGCGTATCATGTCGTTGCTGTTCAAATACCTTCGCGTTCACCAGGTCTTCGGTGCGAATACTAATGTCGGAAAGACGATCCTGACCTCTGCCCTCGTTCGGGCCTCTGCTGCGAAGGGAAACACAGTCTACTACCTGAAGCCGGTGAGCACCGGGCCTATGGAAGATGCCGACGATGAGTTAGCATATGTCCTGGCTGCCCGTGCTGCTCGCCGTACTGATTATGTCATACTTCCCTAGACATGTCCAGCGCTTCTCTGGAGCCCACGCAGACACTGTACACAGCAGATGTCTTTTCCGCTTTGATGATCCAGTGAGTCCGCACTTGGCGGCCCGCCGTGCAGGTAAGAGTGGGGTAGAGGAGGTCAGGATTTTCCGTATTTCTGTCGCGGAAATCATGAATTACAATGAGCATGAAGGTCTCCGTTCCATCGGACGACATTTTCGCGAAGGCCGTGGCAAGCCATATCAGAGATTGCGCTTCTCAGGATGCCCATCCGGCGCACATGTACGTCGAGACGGCAGGAGGTAAGAGCTGCGGCAACTCGTGAGTCCCGAGCACGCTTGAGTTACCACGAATTTCCATATTTTCAAGATGAGTTGTCGACTGACGATGCCTTCCAGGTGTACATAGCCCTACCTTGTCGGGTACGACCCAACTAGATAGCTATCGTCCACTCTTCCTGCCGGTCGTCTTGGTCGGTGATTCCAAGCTAGGAGGCATCTCTTCTACGATATCATCCTACGAGTCTCTACTCCTCCGTGGCTACATTGTTGACTCAATCATGCTCTTCCGCGACGAGTACTACCGCAACTGGGAGTACTTGGTTCCCTACTTCGCTGAACGCGGCGTACATGTTATAGCTGTGGATGCCCCACCAGAGCGTCCTGCCAGTGCCGACGAGAACTTCCGTGTGACGGAGAAGTACTATCAGGAAATTGTTCCGCCGTCACTTCAGGGCGATATCTTCGAGGCTCTGCGTCACCTCGATGAATGCCACTCGCGGAGGCTCACAGAAATCGACTCGATGCCGCAAAGGTCCCTCGACGCAATCTGGTGGCCGTTTGTGCAGCACGGCCTCGTCAAAGGAGAGAAGGACGTCAACGTCATCGACAGCGCGTGGGGCGACTACTTCTCGGTGTACAACGCTCACCGCTCCTCCCAGCCTGCCACCGCTAGATATGAACCCCGGTCACTTTTGGAGTCACAGTTCGATGGCTCTGCGTCCTGGTGGACGCAGGCAGTCGGCCACGCTCATCCTACTCTGACCTTGGCGGCAGCCAAGGCGGCTGGGCGGTATGGGCACGTTATGTTCCCCCAGGCGACGCACCTGCCCGCGCTCAAGCTCGCTGAGCGCCTTATCCGGCACGGTCCCGGCAAAGGTTGGGCTTCGCGCGCATTCTTCTCCGACAATGGCTCCACAGGTATGGAAGTCGCTCTGAAGATGGCGCTCCGCGCCTTCGCCCTCAGGCAGGGCGAGAATCTCGACGGTATGCAGAGGAAGAAGCTCGGTGTCTTGGGGCTCAAGGGCAGTTATCATGGAGACACAATTGGCGCGATGGACGCATGTGAGGAGGGCGTATATACCTGTGAATGGCACAATGCGAAGGGATACTGGCTCGAGCCGCCCACCGTCGCTGGGCGTAACGGACGTGTGGTCATCTCGCTCCCGCCTGCCATAGCCCAGGTCACAGAATCTAACGATACTGAAGTCTACACTGGCTCCTTCAGCTGGACATACGATGTGGGCGAGCGACTCAAAACACCGCTTGCGGACTTTTATCGAAGGTACATCGAGCGTACGCTCAGCAAGTATTGGGAAGGAGGCGATCACACACTCGCGGCACTCGTGCTAGAGCCCCTGGTCATGGGCGCGGGAGGCATGATCTTCGTCGACCCGCTCTTCCAGCGCGTCCTCATCGATGTCATCCGTGGTGTACCCACTGCTGCATCGTCGCAGCCTTCCTTGCAATGGTCTGGTCTTCCGGTCATTTTCGACGAGGTCTTCGTTGGTCTGTATCGTCTCGGTCTACGAAGCACCATCCCCTTCCTTGGCGTGAATCCCGATATCTCAGTGAACGCGAAGATCCTGACAGGGGGCTCAATGCCTCTCGCAGTCACACTCACGTCGGACGCGATCTTCCAAGCGTTCATCAGCGACAACAAGGTCGACGCCCTTCTTCATGGACACAGCTATACCGCATATCCCGCCGCATGCGAGGTCGCAAACGAGACCCTGAATATCGTGGAGAAGATGGCGTCTGGTAGTGAGTGGTCGGACGCGCGTGCGCGGTGGGGATGCTCGGATGCACCGGAAGCGCGCGAGAAAGGTGTGTGGAGTTTCTGGGACGCACAACTGGTCGACGCGCTGTCGCGGTTGGATACTGTCACTGAGGCCATGGCTTTGGGCACCCTACTTGTGATCAAAATCAAAGACGAAGCTGGAGGTATGTTGATTTCTTCTCTCGTTAGTTTTACGATTGATTATTCTATTCCAGGATATCAATCCCACTCCGCAGAAAATCTCTTGAACGCGCTGAGGCTCGCTGTGGACAGTGAGCAGATCTCCGCTGCGCCGGGGGGCGCGCCGTTCGGCATTAACTATCGCACGTTGGGAGACGTTGCATACTTCATGCTTAGCCTAAATTCCTCGGCGGCGACCATTCGCTCTGTGGAGGACAGGATCTGGCGGACGCTGAACGAAGGGTCTTCCGCATCGTAGCAAACAAAAGAGCTATGAAGACCTTGTAGAAATCCTCTATTCGACACAATCTAAACGTCTAACCGCATAACTTCGTCCATTTGGCGTACGGCCGAAAAGAGACTGCTGGCATTCACGACAAGGGAGGTTCAACGCATAGGGAGATGACACTAAAAACTTGCCCGAATAATTTGGTCGAAGCTTGTACTAGAATTTTGGGATCTGGGCGACAAGTTGTTCAAGTCGTATGCGGAGACATTCCCAGTACTTGTTCTTCCAGGCGATGCGTGACGTCTCTCACCGAAGACATATTGATCACAACGGTCATGTCGTAATATGTATATACATGTAAATATGGTTGTCTTTAAGCAGAGATGGTGACCTCGACTTCCACACCGGGCTCCAGGCTGATACTCGTCTGAAAAAGGAACATCCGCCAAACATGAGAGGGGGCAGTGAGGTTGTAATACACTCACAATCTGCTTGACAATCTCACTCGAGGAGTGCAGGTCAATGAGGCGCTTGTGGATCTTGAGCTCGTAGCGGTCCCAGGTCTTGGAACCCTCACCGCAAGGCTTAAAAGAGAGAAAAAATCAGCACGGGCAATCGAGACAATTTGCGGGTGTATTTACAGTCTTGCGGGTGGTGATCTTGAGAACTTTGGTCGGGAGGCGGACGGGACCTTTCACGCGGAGTTGCTTGTCTTTGGCGCGGTTAATCAGGTCGGTAGAGACTGAAACCAGAGTCGGTCAGCCCTACCACACACTCCGGGAAAAATGATCGCACTGACACTTTTCCAAGTTCTTGACGTTGCTGCTGGTGAGGGTGATGCGGATCTTGTGAATCTTGGCGGCAGGGACGGGTGCGCCAGTGGCGTCGAACTCCTTCTCACCCTTAGCGACGTAACTCATCTCTGATGGCTTGGGATTCGGGATGAGACAGCGGTGACTGTTGGATGTGAGTCTGTGGATTCAAGTGATTTAGAGTTTCACGTACGTTCTTGTCGAGATGTCCGCTTACGTAGTGAATAGATAAGATAAGGTAACCTTCGTAATCATCGCTCTTCACATACGCCCACCATGCAAGGCCAGTCGCATGCGGTGTAGCTGTCCGTAGAGTTGTATTGACAGCCATTTGTTTAGGCTTTAACAAATACTATCCTCCAGATTATGATGGAGAGAAGCATGGAAGTCTCAATGCTTACAGAGGTATGTTATCCTCATCGTGTTGGTCTGCAGCTTGCTCATACACGAACAGGCAAGCATGCACTCGGAGACAGAGCTCGCAAAATCGACCAGGGCATCCTGATTGTCCGCTTTGAGCTTCCTTTCAACATCTGGTGGTACGTCTTACACAACTCTAATCATTTGAGTGTGTGCACAACTCAGATACCGTCTCAGTGGAACTTGCAACAACCACATCGGTATGGGTGTCCGCTACAACGCGGAGAAGAAGAAGATTGGCAATTACTATTCTACGCCCATATATTCTTTCAGGTGCAAGTGCCATCTGTGTGACGGATGGTTCGAAATCCAAACCGATCCGAAGGTGCGCCATGCATCATATTGCTCTTCGTAGCCCCACCGACCCCTTCCGTAGAACACGAGATATGTTGTTACCTCCGGTGCACGACAAAAAGACGAGGAGTGGGACCCCGAGGAGAATGGAGGGTTCGCTATTCACGGTAAGCGTGATAGTCTTCCGGTTTACCCACAAGTCTGTTAATTCGTGGCAGACACCGATCCCAACGGAGGCCCCGTTGACCCCCTTGCTGCGCTGGAGAAGTCTACAGATGCGCAGAATCACATGAACCAAGTGCAAATTCCACGGCTGGAGGAGCTGCAGATGCTCTCTGACCACTACAGCGTGGATCCGTACATGCGCTCGAAGAAAGTACGCCAGCGCTTCCGTACGGAGAAGAAGCTCGACCAGGCCCGCCGCGCCGCTGACGACACGCTCAAGAGCACGTACGCGCTGCCGGAGGAGCTTGCGCTCACTGTGGAGAGCGAGGACAGCCGAGCCGAGGCGCACAAGCATTGGGAGAAGGAGCGGCTCGCGCTAGAAGTACGGGAGAAGGCGAAGCGGAGGATGGTGGGGCGGCCGCCGGAGACTGCGCCGACGGCGTCTTCGAGGCCGTCTCTGCTGCATAAGAAGTTGTCCGCGGGACCGCCAGGCAGCGCGATCTCGTCTCTCAGGGCGAGGATCCTAGAGAACACTGCGCGGCATGCAAGTTCGTCGTTGGGTGGGATTGGGCCTCATCGGACAAAAGTGCTAGGCAATAAAGATATTGTATTTCGGAAGACTTGAATGTTGTCTGCGAGTTGTTGGCGAGTACTTTCTTCTCATGAGTAATAAATAGTTGATGCCATACTTATAGTGACCTTTAATTTTGTCCGCCGCAGTGTAACCCTTACTTACGTCGGGATGCAGCAGCGAGTGGGGTGAGCTTTAGATTCAAGTGGATATACGAACTAGAAAACCGCTGGCTGAATCGCGGGTAGGCGGCCCGAGGAACATCCTATCACTCCGCCACCAGTCCCCCGGTCGAACTGCCTCTCAGCTTACTCCGGCCACTATGGGCAGCTTGTGGCACTCTCTATCAGACCGAGCTGCGTTGTTCATCATAGTTCCCCTACTTTGCTTCGTCAAGTTCTGCGATCTTATCACTTGTGAACGTCCCATAAAGCCTACAAAGAGTTATGGCTCGGAATCGTGGAGTTTTCTAGACATGTTTTCATGTGTCGGGTCTTTATCCATCGTTGTATGCAGCATGTATATCACCGACCCTCCCGACCATCTACTGGAGTTGAGCGAAGTCACTTTTTACAAAGATCGCGTCTCCGGCAACGTATTCTTTCTGGCCAAAGTCATCAATGACCGAAGTCACATCGTCGGATTCATCGAGGTCGTACGCTGCATGGAGTACAAGCGGCCTCGTGGTGAAAAAGATTCATGGTACTTTCGACCCTATCGTCGTACGGGAGATAGATTCTCCCTAGGGGTGTCTCCAAGCGGATTGTTCGCCTACCACGACTACGGCGCGCGGAGGTCGCGGCGGTAGAAGCTGTCTGACGCGGAACGACCCAACTCCTTTCTGAACCTCGTAAACGCCTGCCGACTCGTGGATGGGAAATATAAGCACCTCTCGGACGAGTCATTCTGGTGCGCCGGGTTCCTGTTCGCGCTTGTGTACAACAGCCCGGCGGAGGACATTCGGGCTCGGAGGGACTCGTTTCTCGCAAGCACCGCACGTGGGGCTTTACTGAAACCACCGTTGCGAGTATCCACGAGTCCGCCAACGGTGTCAGAGCTGCCATTACTGGAATGAAGACCAACGCAGAAGAGGGATGGCGCCTTCGGAGGATAGCGAAGGCGGAGGAGGTTTGGGAGGCAAAGCTCGATGCTGAGAGGAAGGGAGGAATCAAGGACCCGGCAGATTGAGGGTGCGAACGCCGCGCTCCGTGCAAGATTGAGCGAGCTCAAGGCAAGGACCGTTCAACAGGAAGTATCTATAGAGATGCTAAACGAGGATTCAGAGGAAGACTCACAGAGGAAAGGGCGCCTACGCAGGGAGGCCGAGCAGATGCACGCCGACATTGACGAGCTGGGGCATGAGCTTAGGCTTGCTTGCAGCGCCCTCTCCTCCGTCAATAGATGGGTCATCGATTCAGACTGATGAGACTTCAAGTTCTACTGCGATCGAGGTGTAAATTTTACCTCTCCACTTACGTATTGCGTCTCTTTTCATGCAAAGACATGGCTGTGTCCTTGCTGCTGTACGGAGATCTTGCTCTGATGCATATCCTCTGGTTCATTGCTCGATTTTTGTCCTACCGGTTATAGTCTCAGTAGCTGACGAGGTATCTCTTAATAACGTACCTGAGCTGTTTTATCGGCGTAGTCAGTTAAATTTTCTCGTTTTTTCGGTTTCTCAGCGTTTCGATTGCGGAGTGCTTCGATCTCGTGAATCTCGAGCGATCGGGATCTGGGTATTACAACTAGACGTCGTGCTTCCGTCCACCAAGTCTAACACAAATGGCCGTCTCCCCACCCGACATCCCCATTACCGTCTTCACTGGCTTCCTGGGCGCGGGCAAGACGTCCATCATCCTCTCTCTACTCCCGCAGTTGCCCCCCGACTACCGCGTCGTCCTGCTCAAAAACGAGTTTGGCGACGTCGAAGGTGCGAGTGGAATTCGCCTTCGTATGCTGAGGCTCATGCCGTGGGGTAATGGTGGGGTCATGAATAATGTTTTTGGAATGCATATAGTCGACAGCCAGCTTGCGAAACAGTCCAGTTTGGCTGCGGTGAGTGAGATCCTGAATGGGTGTATGTGAGTCCTCGTTTTCTCCGTGAAATTAGTCGAGACGAGGCTTTGCTGTCAATCAGGTGCTGCGTCCTCGTTGGACAGATGAAGACTGCTCTGCTAGAAATTAGAGGCAAGTTCCCCGCACCGATGCTCCTCCGGCCCCAATAATTGAACGACGAGTAGAGAGATACAGACCAGACCGGATCATCATCGAATGCTCGTCCGTAGCATCTCTCCCACTTCCCCTCCCATAGACTCACAAGCGTCTCAGCGGCTCTGCCTTCCCCGCGACTCTGGCATTTCAAATCCGCGAGCTCGAGCGCGAGACGGGCCGTGACCTGAAGCTGGACGCGATCGTGACGGTCATCGACGCAGAGAATTTTGTCGGATATGAGGACACGTCGCCCACAGCGAAGATGCAGGCGAGCTACACAGATGTCCTGCTGATCGTGCGTGTACCCCGAATCCTGTGCCGTCGCTGCCAGATTGATGTGCATACGGTCAGAACAAGTGGGAGCACGTCTCTGAGCGCGCACTGGACGTGCTGGTGGACCATTTGAATACGCTAAATGATACCACACCGAAGATACGGTGCAAGGGCCGGAAGGGGGTCGATCCTAGCCTGATCTTCGGACTCGACTCGAAGCTGTTCCAGGTGGAAGAGCGGCTAGAGTTTCCGCACCACGAGGAGGTGGAGACGGTTACGGTGTATAGAGGGAAAGGACTGGTAAACGCGCATCAGCATCACGGACACGACCATAGCTCGGACTGTGCTCACCATCACATCGTACCGGATACCAATTCTGACGGGGCAGAATTTGTCGAGGAAGAGAAGCTGAGGCAGGCGTTGGGGGCGCTGTCGAAGGAGACGGTGTGGCGAGTGAAGGGATTTGTGGCGATGAAAAGTGGAGTGTTTGTACTGAACTGGGCGTTCGGGAGGTATGAGCTGAGCGCGTTCGCAGGCGAGGGGGAGAAGGGAGATGTGGTGAAGCTGACGGTGATGGGGGAGCGTGGCGAGGTAAAGCGGGCGGCACGCAAACTTGGAAGCACCCTCGGCGGTGTAGATTTTATGTAGAAATTATATGTAGAGTATATGTAGAAACGTAGAGTATACGTAGAAACCGAATGTAGATCTGGAATGTAGATTTAGAGACGCGTCGCGTTATTGCACGTGACTGACGACGTTTTGTGAATATCACATGGAAACTGAAATTCAAGAGAATGCAATTTCTATGTCGACGGCCATGTTCTCGTATGTCCTCAGCTCAGGCATGTTTTATTCCGTGTGTGTTTCGCATAACGCTTACGCCCGGGCGCAGCGAGCTCGTATTTCCATCTCCCCATAGACGAGGACGAGGACGGTGCACACGCCGAGAGTTCAAAGCATATATCCTGGGCACCTGCCGACGACCTGGACTCCGACTCCGACGGGTCCCTTCCATCCTCCTCGTCTTCATCATCTCTTCACTCGCAGTATGGTCCCACTCCTCCCCCCGCACGCACGAACAAAGCTGTTATCAACCAGATCCTCAACGAGAACGATCTCTATCGCATCCTCGGAATATCCAGAACCGCTCGCATAGATAAGTTATCCCTTCGCCGTGCATATCTAGCGCGGAGCAAAGCATGTCATCCAGAGTGAGCATATCAAGTACACTGAAGACGTCCCCAAGCTCATACTTGTTCAGTAAATTCCCTAACAACCCTGAAGCCACACGCGCATTCCAAAAAGTTTCTCTCGCATATAACGTCTTGAGCAAGCCATCCTCGAAAAGATCCTATGATTCTCGCTCCCCCAATTCTTCTTATGATATTTTCGCTGCTCGTCCTTATCCCCCTCCCGAGGAGACATTTCGAAGCGTAGTCATTGGCGTGTTTAACGACCTCCTCGATGGCGATCTTGAGATGATCCGGACCTTGCTCCGTAGGTGCACAACGCCTCCTTGTATCATCTACTCTCACATTTCATGCAGGGACTGTGAACGACATGAACCCTGCCCTCCGGCTCGGCGAGGAGGGCATCAACTCCGTGCTCTTCACCCTTCAGTCCATCCGCGAGCGCGCCCTGAGTATGCCCCTCTTCCCCCTTTCCCCTTATCTTTCCCGCGCTAAACCCGCTGACAGCGTGCCGTACGTGCGTCCTGGCGCTGCACACTGAGCTCACGCGCCTGCTCGAGGTGCAGCGCGCGTTCCGCGATCTTTCTTACTTTGACCTCCGCCGCCGTTCCTGCCTCACCATCCGCCTTGCGCGCCTCACCGTCGCTCTCCCCATCGCCCTTGAGCAGGCGCTGCGTGCGCAGCGCGACGAGGAGTACGCCCCTGACAGGCCTCGTGATGGCGTCGGCCCTGGTCCCGGCGACGGGAGCGCGCTCCTGAACAGGCGTGTTGCGACGCTCCTCCGCGGGCTGGTGATCGTTCTCGAGCGTATGGAACGCATTCTCGGATAGAGGTGCTCCCTCTCTCTTGGGCATGTCGTAACTTATCTGCTCTGCACTAGTACGCTGCATGTCGTCGTTTAGACTCTGCTGTGTTTTTAGAATCCTCCTGTACGTAGCAAGCTCGCCATGTTGTATCGTGTCCCCCTCAGGGTTCCCGCACCTTAGAATATTCACGGTCTATTGCATATCAATTTGCTATCAAGAAATAAGATCAGCGCCAGGTGGCGCGACAAACAATATAACACTGATAACGTGGAATCCACAGCATTGCTCGAGTATCGCCATTATAATGTACAAGCATACGAATGGAGATCGGGCAGGAAAGCTCCAAACGAACGGATAAGAGGACGAGAGGACGTTATACACAGATAATTCATGCCACTTACTGTTGCGCTCACTGCTGCGTCTGCGTTGGGAAGTGAGGTATCGGCCTCTGTTCGTGCTGCACGTTGGCGTGAGCCATACACAGCAAGCGTGTAAAAAAGACAAGCACTGACATTCATCCACAACATCCCAGTCGACGATGCGGGCGCGGACGTATCCTTTTCTTCCAGCATATACGACTCCTGAGACGGCTGGTACCCGTACGTGCTCATCGGCTGCGCAGCCGCGGCAAGCAGGTGGTTGAAGTCCCCGTTCCCGCCGTTCCCCGCCGCGGCGACGACCGCCGCATTGTTCTGAGTCTCCGGATAGAACGGGTAGAACAGTGCCGCGGGCACCTCCGCCAGCTTCTTGTCCGCAGGCGTGCCCGGCGCACCCTTGCCTCCACGCCCCGGGCTCCCCGTTCCCGATGACCCCCCATTCGGTGGCGCGTACGCGCCCTGTTGAGCGGGGTACTGGGCGGGACCCATCGTTGGCGTTTGAGGCTGAACGCCCTGCTGCTGGGTGCCGGGGGGAGGCTTGGACGAAAGGATGCTGTCCGCATCCCAGTCTTGCTCGGGCATCAGCATTGGCGCTGCCGTCGGTGCAACTTGGTGCAGGTTCACACCCAGCACTTTCTCGGCGACCTTGGCAATGAGCGGATGCCCGCCGTTGAGGTCCTTGCGCTCCCAGCGCCAGCGGAAGCTTGGGAGCATGTCAAGCGCCATCCACACATCTTCCAGCGCGACCTGCCGTGGGATAGGGTCACAGCCGGACATGCGCCCGAAGAGAATTACCATCGCTGCAATGTGCAATGGAATAGGCGAGACAAAGAACGCGATGTCCGGGAAGCGGATCAGCTGGTTGTGCACAATAATAATGTTGTGCGACATCACGATAGCTGCATTTTGCGGGTCAAAATCGAAACAGGCTTCAGAGACGGCAAAGCTCACCATCAAGAAGAGCGCGGTGGCGGTGATGGTACTGCAGCTGCTTCGAACTGAAGAGCGCACGCAGCAGAAGAATTCTGGTAATCCCGATCTTGAGCAGCGTGAGGCCCTGGTCCTCTGTAATATCGTTCACTAGCTGAATGCGGCGCTCGAGGGGCCAGTCCTCTGTGCCACTAAAGTACCACTTGTATGTGTCAGGAAGCTGCCGGCGGAACTCGACCATACTCTTGATGATGCGCGTCGCATGGCGCATAATCGCGTCCGCGCTCTGGCGTGTTGGTGTATACAGGGAATTGATAATGTCAGCCTGTATCTCCGCGATCGGCGCGGACAGCACGAAATGCTCGGAAATGTCGCTGCTCCCGGACTTGCTCCGCGACGGCCGCGGTGTGTTCGAATCGGACGGCGCTATGGCCAGAGGACGTCCGAGTAGGATCGACGTGCCACGGTCATGCACGAGCACGATGCCCCACAGACGGATGCGCAGTTGACATTCCTCCTCAGAAAAGACGTTATCCTGCGAGGTCGGGTCATGGTGAAGCCCGAGCTCAATCGACAACCTGACGAGGCTGCCGACAAGACGCCAGAGCGTCCGGCCTTGTCGCTATCGCGGCGTCAGCAATGTCATCGCAGCCAATCAAGTGGACGGACTGACCTCGGTATAGAGATACCACTGAAGTAGAATTAGCGCCTGCAGGCTGGACACGGTGACGCGCAGGTCAGGTTTGACCGCAAGAGCGCTTTGAAAGAACTCCTCGTGTTCCGGCCAGTCGGCGGGCATGAGCTTCTTGGGCGTCGTGGGACTCGCCATGTTCTGGCTGCGTTCCTTCTCCATGCCGCTCACGCGGTGGTTGAGCTCGCTGAGCGTGCCCAACGCGAGGATGAGGTAGAGGCTGCACACATAGCCGGGGTCATGCTGCAGCGTTTGACCTTCATACAGCGCGTCGAGCGTATGCTCGAATTCCTTGCGGGTGAAGACGGGTCGGTGGAAGTTGAGGCGTGTGAAGTAGACGTCGAGGACGCGACGCAACATCGTACGATCCTTGGGAAGCCAAACGGGGACGTTCGACGAAGGAGATGCGGGGCCAGATAGCCCAGACGGTGGGTGACCGGCGGTGCTGTCGCGGCGCATGGAGACGGAAAACCACTTTGTGGCATCTCGTGGGGCGGAGGGCTCACCTACATCGCGGTCGCGGCCAGAGGTGAGACCGGCGGAGCCGACTGCCAGATCTTCTCTGTCCATGACGGACATCTTGACTTCATTCACGATAGCCGAGTGGACACCGAAGCTCTTGGCCAGTGCCTAAGAGTGCGATAAGTGAGTAGAGAAGAGAAAAAGGAAAAAAAGGACGCACTTGGGTGCTAGACATGTCGTGTGAAAGGGGATCCTGGCCCTTGGGGATGTCGTGCGAAGAGGGCGAGCGTTGCATGCTGGAGTGGGGTTGAAGCGGGTGTTGGAACGCAGGAAGGATGTGGGGGTTGTAGCCGGGGGGAGGAGGACCGTGCATGGCCATGTGCGGTGGTGGGGGTGGTGGGGGTCCATATCCAGGAGGAGGGGGCCCATAGGGCATCATGGGAGGAGCGCCGTAGTGGTGCATCATCGGCTGACCAGGAGGACCATAGGGATATGTGCGCGGGGGAGAACCGGGCTGCGGAGGAGGCGCCTCGGTGCGCAGAGGGTAGGGCCTGTTGCTGCCGCCGCCGCCGGGTGGTTGAGCAAACTGGAAGGTGGTAGAAAGGGCGTTATCGCTTGAGTCAACTTCGATGCCTTCGCGGGAACATATATCGTCCAGACTGTCGAGGTTGAAGTCGGGGATGCGCCGCTTGAGGAGGGCGTCACATTGGAGGAGTTGGCGTTCTATCCGCTCGGTGTGTCCGCGCGGCGTAAGAGTCTGGCGATGCCTGTCTTCTTGGTGGCATGCGGTGCCGGCGGTGGCACAAGCGGTGCATCTGGGATGTTTGGAATCGCACTGAGGACGACGAGGAGGACGGTCAGCAAAGAGACTCGGGAGGAGAGACGGGAGAGACGGGAGTTTGCCGTCGGTGTCGCCCGCCGGGACTTGCCTTAATTTTCTTACTCCTGCATCGTGCGCACGCCTCGTGAGATCGACGGAGCCGGCGTGGTTCAGCGGGATGGGGCCCGTCGTCGCCGTTCGTGTCCGCCTTTCTTCGCTTTCTCGACTGCGGCGGCGGCTGCAGGGGCGGGGCTTGCGGCTGCTGGGCGGGAGGAGGCTGCTGATTAGGGTCGATCTGGAGGGCGGACTGGAGAGAAGAGTGGTTCAGGTTGAGGTCGGCGTGTGGGGGGAGCAGATGGGTCATGATGATCGTCCGCGACGACGACGACGACGAAGATTGCGACGAGGACGACGCCTGAAGGGTGATGATCAACGACCAACGCAGCGCCCACCGTTCGTCCCGTTACCAGTCTGCTGCTCCCCGGTCACTGCCCCCTGTCCCCCGGCCACTCCCCGCCCGCCCTGCGCTCTTGCCGCCGCGCACTCTCGCCCTCTCCGTGTGCTGTAGAGTACCTTGAAAAATAGCAGAGCGTTCTGCGAGAGTCGCTGAATATTTTCGGGATTTTCGGAGGAGCAGGAAGCGGACGAGGACGGCGGTTCCCACGAGCGGAGTGGAGAGAGCACGGTGCGCGCAGCTGCGCACGACTCGGGCCAACGCTACGATGTCTCCCCCTGCGCTGCACACCAACTCGACCATCCCCGACAACAGATCAGCCTACTCGCTCGTCACCGTCCACGACGTCCTCGACGTCGTCCCCTCGCCCACCGCAGCCACCTCTCTCCTTTCTCGCCATTCCGACGACTCTACCTATGGCACCACCGCCCCCTCCCGCCCCTCCTCGCGTCGCATCTTCATGAATGCCACCCTCAAGATGGCCGCAATATTCGTCCTTAGCACAGCGTTTCTCGGAGGCATCCTCTGGCTGGCCTTGCCGACCCTTGACGAGTCCGTCTCCTTGCGCTCTCACCCTCATCCGCACTGACATCCGCCGTAGAGACGACCGGCCGTCGCTCAAGGTCCCAAAGTCATTCGCAGAGCTTCAGGCCCTCAACACGCTGCTCAAGAAATACAGGGACATCTACCCCTACCGCATCGTCGTCTGCTATATCATAAGCTATCTCTTGTGCGTTCCCCGCCGTCCTTCTCTCCCACTCTCCTGCTTACCCCCGCACCCAGCCTCCAAGCCTTTTCCCTCCCAGGCTCCATGTATCTCTCCATCCTCGGCGGCGCCGTCTGGGGCATTCCCCGCGCCCTCGCCCTCGCCTGCACCTGTGTCGCCTCCGGCGCGACTCTTTGCTACCTTATCAGCGCCGCTCTCGGCCCCGCTCTCCTCACCATGCCCAAGTGGAAGTCACGTTTTGACGTCTGGGGCGCAAAGATTTCCGAGCAGAAGGACAACATAATCTCGTACCTCATCGTCCTCCGCATTGCACCATTCCCCCCGCACTGGGTCGTGAACGTCCTCTGTCCACACCTCGGCATCGGCATCGTCCCCTTCTGGGTCAGCACCTGGCTTGGCATCTTCGGCGTCACCGTCATCCATACCACCATCGGCGGCAGCCTCGACGATATGACCTCCGCCGACGACTTCCACCTGATCTCGTGGAAGAACTTCCTCATGCTTTCTGCCGTTGCCGTCGGCGTCATGATCCCGGTCGGACTCCGCTACTACTTCAAGCGGGAGCTCGTCGCGGTCGTGGACGTCGAGGCTGAGGCGGAAGCCGAGGAACGCACCGCGGCGCAGGACGGCGATCTCGTGCTCGCCGAGGGCCCGCCTACGGTGGTGTACAAGGGCAAGGATGCCCAGCTTATTCTCATCGACGATGAGGAGAGCGAGGAGTATTCGGATGAGGACTCGGATGAGGACGTCATTCTCGAGGCCGGTCCTGCCCTCATCGTGAAGGCACAGGGCGGCGATGCGACCGCCGTGGGCGCAGACGAGAGACGGGACTGGCGACAGGAGGATCTGCTGTGAAAGGATATCGCTCATATGCTCGGATATAGATGGCGTACGCGCGCGGGCATGCGGCTGTAATGTGCAGCGCACGGCTCGGTGTCTGCTGGACCGAGTGGGTACGCTGTGTCGGTCCATTTACTTGTAATTCTGGTCTGCTGTACAACTGCACGTATATATGTTGCTTTCTGTGTCAGACGCCATATATGCCATTATATGGCTGGTCACCTGCGGGTCCTCGTCCCGAAAAGGTAATTTCCCGCATCGGCGCCAAAATATGAGAGCCAAAAAATATTCAGAAGAGACGGAAAGCGGAAAGGAAGATATATACAGATGCATGTATACTGGCTGGCGTCCGATGGGTGGGCAGAAGAAAAAAAATTAATGGAAGAAAGAGGACGGAGCAGTGCTGGAGTGCGGATTGTTCCGCCAGAGCACCAGGTGCACTGTATGCGACTGTGTGCGCTCCTGAGGTCTTCCCCAGCCGACTCTCTCCCTCCCACCATCTCGGTCCCGGCTCCCCTCCTCGTCGCCATCGTCGTCGTCCCCGACGTTCTCCAGCCTCTGTCAGACGGCTGCCACCTTCGTACTCCCCGTCTGCTCTCCGTTTGCCTCTCCGCGCCTGCGCGTCGTCCGCTGCCGCTCCGCCCTCTGATATCGCCATCCCCCCCGGTCCTCATGGCTGATCGTCTTCCACAGCAGTACTCCGCCAACTTCCCCCCCGGCCTTATTCCTCAACAGTCTAACGGTCTCCAGCAGCTTCCCCAACAGCTCCAGGTCGATCCCCAGATGGCTAACCAGTCTCTCACCGACCAGAACCGCATCTGGTCCCACATGCTTCAGCAGCAGATGCGCCCACAGGCCGCTCAGAATAACTTCCCCCCACCCTCCATACAGCAGCAGCAACAACAACAACAACAACAACAGCCGGTGAGTCTCGTTTTATTTGCCTAAATCATTACTTTACTCGCTCGCCCATCGCCCATCGCCCATCGCTCTGCTGTCTCGCACTCCCTCTCCACTTCCCCCACCTTGTCGAGCCACCCTTCGTCCATATGCCCATCTTCCTGCACCGCCATCGTCCGTCCTACCACCACCACCCACTACCACTTACTCACGCCCGTTTGCTTACGTCATCTCCCGCATTCTTCTCACTGACGCCCCGCGTAGGCAACCAACCCATTCACGAACCACAACATCGTCCGCCTCCAGGCGCAGATGTCGCAGCAGAAACAACAACAACATCAGCAGCAGCAGCAGCAGATGTCGTTTGGCCTCCCTCCACACGTCCCCACTTCCGCCCCCGACGCCCAGGCTCGCGCCATGCGCCAGCAGTTCCCCAATATGTCTGGGGGTGCAGCGTTCCCCACCGCACTGCAAATGCAGACCCTCGCGTCGCGCAATCCCCAGATGCTCCAGCAGATGCTGCAGAACCAACACGCGATGCAGAATCAGGCGCTGCAGAATCAGGGTAACCGACAGTTGGAGCTTATGGGCCTCGCGCACAACCAACAACCACAGAATGGCAACCCCGCTGCCATGGCGGCCTTGCGACAAATGCAGCAACAGGCACAGCAACACCAGCAGGCGCAACAACACCAGTTGCAGCAACAACAACACCAGCAACAGGCGCAGCAACAGCATCAGCAGCATCAACAGGCGCAGCAACACCAGCAGCAGCAGTTACAGCAGCAATTGCAGCAGCAGCAGCACCAACTACACCAGCAGTCCCAGCAAGTGTCCCAGCAGCAACATCAGCCCAGTATGGGCGCGCAGCTCGGCCAGATGCAGAACCAGGTGCAGCAGAACCCGACTTTCTTCTCTACCTCCGCCATGCAGCCCATCCCGGATGCAGCTCGGGGGCCCTCTGCACAGCCGAACTTGCAGCAGCAGTCTGGCGCACTCGCTCCTTCGCCTTCCGGCATGCCGCAGCAGCAACAAGGCCCAAGACGCCCGTTTTCGTTCATGGAGCTTAGGACCCGCGCAGCCGCGCTCAATAACACAATTCGTGAGCTGGAACGGCAGAGACTGAATACTCACAATCAGAATTTGACTATGCCGGACGCGGCGCTCGAGGTCGAGATCGGGAAGATCAACGAGGAGCTCCAGCGGAGGAGAGATCTTCTGGAAAAGCTGAGTACTGCCATGCAACAAATGACCAATGCACACTCTGCCGCCCTCGCTGCAAATCAGTGAGTGTTGTTGGCGACGCTTTTATTGTTGTTGTGTTGTGCTTACGGTCTACGTCCAGGAGTGCACTCCGCACGTCGCCTGTCCAGTCACAACAGCACCCTGCTGCTACCCAGAACGACCAGGGTCACCCTCAACAAGGTTGGCCGTTGCAGACAGGTGCCTCGCAGACGCCTATGTTTCCCTTTCAGCAATCCGCCGCGCAGATTATGCAATCAGGCCCGTCGCAAGCATCGAAGGTACCACAGATGCCGCCACAAGGGGAGCAGATGAACCAGTTCTCTCCGAACTCGATTTCCATGCAGTTCCAGCCAGGCGCTGGTCAATCGTCTCCAAACGTGATGTCGACGCCGTTCCCGGGTCATGTGCCTGCCCAGGCGACGCCACCACCACCGCCGCAACAACAGCAGCAGCATGCCCCATTGCGTGTGCCGATCCCGCCTTTGTCTGCAGAGGTATTCAATTCAGCGTACAAGACGTTTTGCACGAAGAACAATGTTGTGCATGATCCGGCGCTTATGTCGCACGATGGTCGTCCGATTGACCTGTACGCGCTTCACGTCGAGGTAATGAACGCGGGCTTCTATAACCGGGTAAGGTGACGTACTTCTCTTTCCGGTGATTTTCATTGACGCTGTCGCTGTAGGTGGCTCAGAATGACCAGTGGCCCGTGATAGGTGCCAAGCTGGGCTTCGTACAATTTCCTGCAAGTAACAGTGAGCCGGCCAAGTCTGGCCCGGGCGTGGCGCAACATCTGGAGCACGTATACAAGCAATATCTCCATGCTTTTGATTCAACATATCTACGTTCTTGGCTTGCCAAACGGAGCCAGCAGCAGCAACATGACGTGCAGCAGGCCGTGGAGCAAGCGCGCATGCACCAGAAGCTCATTCCTGTTCAAGGTACTGTTATGAGTGGACGCCCTCCCCAAGTTCCCCACGCATTGCCTAGCCAAAATGGACAGGACGCTAATGGAGTCCCGGGTTTGGCTGGCGCATCGGACCTGCAGCTCAACGAAATTCTGCAGTACGCAACGGTACCGACTCCAGAACTGCGGCGGCGGAACGTCCCCGCTCACATTATCAACTTAGTGGAAGCAAACCGTCCGCTCCTCTTACGGTCCTTGTCGCAGCGCGAGTTACGCGGTGGGGTCGCTAAGAATGCTCAGTCTACCCAACAGCAGCGCCCCATGCCCTCGCCATATATGGCGCAGATAAAACAGCAAGGTGCTGTCGTGAATCCCGCCATGGCCCTGCGGAGCGGACAGTCTCAGCTTCAGCAGAACTCATCTGGATCTGCGGGCCCAGCGGTGACTGTCGCCTCGGTGGCAGCCACAGTACCATTCCGACATCGTACGCAGCCTGTCACAGAAGAGGAGTTGCAGAATAACTTGGAGTTGATCAATTCGGTCAAACGGCATTATTCAAGTTGTGCGTTCCTCTTGTGTAACGGGGCATGTGAAGGCTAACGTGTTGACAGGCGTGCTCAAGATGACGCCTCGTCCTATACCTGATGATCAGAAGGTCCAATTCAATGCGGCATTCGAGGAACTGTGTCGCTGTGCTATCGAGACGGACTCCAAGCTGCGTCTTTATCTTTGTTACATCAACCAGGAAGCCGTTCGGAAGTTGATCGCAATCGTATGAATGTCTTGATTGGTTTTCACTGCTACGACTCACGCTACGCTTGGCAGATTATGACTGCTCAGCACCAGAGGAAACTCCTCGCTTCATCGCAGTGTATAATGGACATCCAGCAAATGCGACAAATGAGCATTCAGATGCAAGGCACGAGTGAAGCTTATGCGCAACATACACTATCATCGGCGTCCAACACCTCTCCTTCCCACTCGGCTGCGCCTGTGCCATCACCTCCATCGTTTCCTCTACCTTCCTCGCATACTACGATCGCTCCTCCCCAGTCGTCGCAGCAGGGTCTACAGTCTCATCCGCCTCCCCAATTTACATCACAACAGATGTCACATCCGATACAGCCTCCATTGCAGCCACCCCAGTACTCTCAACCCGTGCCGCCGCGGTTGTCTCCCTCATCCCAGCCGATGGCGCCTACTCCGTCACCACGACTCGCAGCTACCGTCTCGGCTCGTTCTCCTTCCGCGCAGCAGACGAAGAAGAAGGTACAGCAGCCATTACCAGCCACGCAGATTGATCTCACTGTGTCAGCAACACCGCCCGCATCTGCATCCACGCCAGTCGCAAGCGCATCGACACCTATCCATGTGGGCAGCTCTCCTCAGACACCGAAGTCTCCGAAAGCGAAGGCGAACAAGCAGAAGCAGTCTACAAAGCGTAGTAGGGCCGCACCCAAAACTGCTTCGGCTGGGGAACAGCGGCCGGCGACGCCAGCTGCAGCTTCGGCTGCGGAGATCGCGGTCAAGCGACCACGCGAGGAGGAGCAGCCCTCGAGTAGTCCTGCTGCTGCGCTAGAGCCTCCGTCGAAGAGAATTAAGACGGAGTGGGAGGATCCACCGAGTGAAGCTTTGGTCAAGAAACAAGAAGCAGTGGAATTGATCAAGACCGACGAGGACGCGGCGAAGTTCCTCGAGAAGATGACGGACCTGTTGAAGAGAGCGTCTTCAGACGAGGATCAAGGCGTGCTGTCATCCCAAATCTCTTCCACTTTGGACCAGATCTTGAAACCGTACGAGGCACCTCTTGATTTCTCTGATTCAGCAGGACTTTCGTCTCTGTCGGCGTCCGGAGGATCGGATAGCCTCGGATTCGGTCGCTTTTCGCCATCTCCGGGCATGGCCGCAGCTGACGGTCTGGAGTTCTTTGACTTCACTTCGTACGGGCTCGAAGATGACACTGAGTCGAAGCCGGAAACGCCAGATCTTGTGCCGGCATCATCGACGAATCCTAGTCCAGGGTCTGCGTCGGAGGCGGATGGTATTGGCCATATCGCGTTGGGTGTGTCTGATACGGTGAAGATTGCAGACATCAAGGAAGAGGAGGGGGTGGATCTACTGCGAATGGGGATATGGGGAGAAATTGACGGAGGGGAATCTGCTTACTACCAGGCCATGGATGGGTGGAAATGGGAAGTGCCGATGGCTACGTGCGATCAGCCGTGGGCAATCTCCACAGTGTAGAGGTATTATTTGATGCTTTATCTTGTCATTCTATATGGTGGGTCCGGTGTACTGTCCCGATATCTTCACATCGTCTCTCGGATCTCATTCTATCCACTGTTTGTGTTGTCGCATCTGCAGCTGTTTTTTGATTATTCTGTCGCGTCAGCTCTGTATCTCTAACATCGTCTACTTGCTATCGATGAATCGCAACCGTCAAATGCTCGCCGCTTTGGCGTTGTATTTTGTTTTTAAATCGGGCGAGTACCAAGGACTTGCAAATTGCAATTGGAAGACGGAAAGGGAGCACGTGGACTACATGGCGCGCGCCTGTGGCTAACGCAACGGCACTGCCAGTCCCACCATGGCCTCTCCTCCCAAGCAATTCGTTTTCAAAGCCTCTGCCATCGCTCGCATACATACCTGTCTTGCGTTCGCCGCATTCCTAGGTGCTCTCTTTCTGGGATGCGCATTGCATTACAAGAAGATTGTCAAAAATGGCGTCGCTGGCTATCCTGACGAATGGTTTCCCTCTGTCTCCGCAACGTAAGTTATAGTTTCAATACTGAACCTTTTCTAACCAGATCGCTTAGTATTGGCGACTGGTTCCCCGAACGGAACGTCTTCCAGATCCTCATTGCCTTGAACTCCGGTGCGTGTCTGGTCCTCTACGCGCCGTATCTCGTGCAATTTTGACATTTCGCAGGACCTAGATTTGCTGTGGTTCTTCTCCAGTACTATTTGCATCGCACAGAGGAATCTCGTCTACCAGCGGTTGCGATGGTCGTGGGTCTGCTTCGGACCTTGGCATGCGGAGGATGGGTGTACATTACTTCCAACGATGATCACGACGCACACGACATCCTCATGATAAGTTATATCGTGTGCAACATACCATGGATGTCCATATGCACCGCTTGTACTCCTCCACAAAGTGTACAAGCTCGACGTAGAAGGCAAGTTAACGATTGTCGGCACGCATTTCATCTCGCTGATAGCACTAGGCGCAATACGGCTTCAGCGTATGTGACTCGTCTGCTGTGCAGTGCAGTTCATCGGTTGACGGTGTCGTAGATTCTTTATTTCAATGATACCTATGATATACTTCTTCATCCAGCACAAAGTGCACCGTATCCCCGGAGGTTGATCTGCTGTTTGCCTCTTCGCTGCGCCGCTGTTGATGTTCCATATCCTGCACAGCGTACACTCGATATAGCTTCTTCGAATGGGGGCTCATATTCTTCGATATCATGTACGACTCGGCTGTTGAACTGGACCTCAAGGCGGCCAACCTCGAAGTGCGTATCGCCTGTTTGGTGACTGTTTGCCTAATAAATGCTGGTCAGGTTGTCGTGCTTACTCCCAGCAGATCTGATGGGGTGGATGATATGTATACACGAGTTCACCGTCTTGCGTAGTATTTGTTGACAAGATCTCTCATGCAGGAAACATGTGCTGAATCCGAATGTGACAGCTGTCACGCGTGTAAGAACACCGTCTCCAGTACCCTTTATACCTGTTTCTCCCGAGAAAAATCCGTCTGAGCCAGCAAGGCCTCTTGACATGAAGAAACCCGCGAAACCGCCTTCACGTGTTCGGGCCAGCTTGGTGCAGTCCAGCGTCATCATTGACTTCTTGAGTGACTTATACCTTTGTGTGTACGCCTTCCCTGGCCTTGGGAATGTAACACTAAGTTCTATGATAGCGTTTGTTTATTGGTCGATCTTGACATCCCTAACCCCCACTCTGTTCTATTTTTCCGTCTGGGAACTCAGCCTCACGGGTTCTGAATTGTCCCTTCTGTCCACCTTGTCGCCACTGTTACTCGTGATTCCATCATCTTTGCGATGGAGCGCCTCGCTGGTTGGCAGAACCATCCTGCATTCACTTTCACTCATTGGGTTAGGAGCGTATGCGTTAGGTGATCCTCTGCACAGACTTTTTGCAGTGATGTTTGCCACGGCAGTCAGCAATGTCGGAGCTGCAGCTGATTGGTTTGGTCGAGACAATAGTCAAGTCGGACATCAAGGCCTCCGTACGTTATTACGATGAATAGCCGCCTACAGCACACTGATGGGTAGCCATGCGGTGTTTGATAGTCTTGGGCTTGGGGTTCATGCTATCGTCACTCGCGAAGCATGCCAACCATTCCGTTAATCCAGGTAATGCTCATTGAGAATCTGTACGAGACGATGTCTGACATCGAACAGTATGGCCTATCGTCCACGAACAGTCCGGTGGATACAACAAGACCGGCATTTTCTTGGCCTGCCTTGCCATCTACAACTTCTACACTCGACGGACCACGTCTTCGCCGGTGACATCTAGCACGCGACATACCTCATATACGGGCGACTGGCTTTTATCTGGGCTTGCACTTGGAAGCTTGATCTTCACCTTACACTACCTTTTAGGGGATTCTGCCACACTCATTGCGTGGTCTTGGACAGGATACCCCATTCAAGGGCCGGTACCGAATCTTCACGGCTCTCTCACACATGTCGCTCAGGCTCTCGGGCTTGGTATCCCTGTAGTTCTATCTTTACTCTCCGACCGTGGTCCGGAGATTCTGACACATCCTGTGTGGTTTGCGTATGGTAGTGTCAGCGCATACGTCATGTACAAGTTCAAGGATTGGTTAGGCTTCGCAGGCGGCCTGAACTTTGCCATCTTTCTCATGTCTATCATTCCCACGGTTCTCCAACATGCGGTATACACACAGAAAGTAGTCAAGACTTGTGCCACTGCCTGGCTCCTTGTTTGTGCATTCTATTTTTCCAGCGTGTTTACAGTCGCATACGCATTCGTACCTGGCGGTGAATATTTCCGCGAACGGACAGACTTGTGAGTGTTCGAGGACGATTGGTGCAAACGCTCATTATCATGATCAATCTCGTAGAGTTCTTTTTGCGCAGGTAGTTGGTCTGGCTTTCGTGTTTCGATGGCCTCACGTACTTCCTCCCGTCCCGACCTTCACTCTTTCTGGGCGGACGAGGTCGTCCGTTGGTAGTTCGCTTGCCGTTATTACAATTACTTCACTGCTCGTCACGATGTACAGGTGGCCATTTGTTGTCCCGAAACCTCACAGAGCTGGGGCTCGGATCGTCCGAGCTGGCATCTGGACCGTCCACTTTGGCATTGACAACGAAGGCAGGGACAGCCAACGTCGCATGGGGGACTTAATAAAGTGTGTCCTATTCCTGCCAACTAATTCACTTTCTGAAGTTCTGCTTATCGCAGGGACATGGAACTGGATGTTGTCGGTCTATTAGAGACCGATTTGCATGTGATGTCTTCGCATACCGTGACCGCCGCAGCCGTAGCTGATGTTCATATAGCGTACTGTCTTCGGTAACCGAGACCTGTGAGTGATTACATCATCGAGAACCCCTACATAGGTTCACTGTGGTGTAGGACACTTCTTATAACAGAAGAGTTGGGTTATGTGAGTCTGACCTTCTTTGTAATTGGTCGCATGCACTGACACTATTGAAGTTCGTAGACATTGGTCCCGGACCTAACAGTCACACCTGGGGTGCTGTCCTGTTATCCAAAGTATGCGTCTCATGTGCACCGTTATCTCCTACGCTGACGGGGTTTGGCAGTTTCCGATCATCAACTCGACTCACCATCTCCTTCCTTCACCTCATGGAGAACTTGCTCCTGCGATCGAAGCCGTTTTGGACGTCTACGGCACAGAAGTCACCGTGCTTATTGCACATAACGGACAAGGTATGAATAAATTGTCGAATTGGAACTGAAAATTTTGCTCAGATACTTTCCGTATAGAGGAAACACCTCTCGATCGCGAGCTGCAATCCAAGGAACTGGCGCAAATCATGGCCAAGTCATTCCCTCGTCCTGTGATCTTCCTTGGATATGTGGTGACAAAACCGCTTGCTCCGAGGCGTAAGTCTCCACCGTCTGCACAAATGATTCAGCGTTCATGGTGGATTGTATGGATGCAGCGGCTCCTTACGAGATCATGGTAATAGACGGTAAAGTGAACGATATTGATCGGCATGATTGGGACCGCTGGTAGGTAATTCATACATGTACATTGCACATGACTCACGATGCCGTATTAGGTGCGAATACATCTTCTATCGAGGATTGTATCGCACAGCGTATGCTCGGGTGTCTAGAAGTACGATCACAGACACAGAGCTTCAAATTGGGCAGTTTGTTGTACCCAAACACGGGTTCTTCGTAACTAATGATACGGATGAAGCTCAGTATCTTCGTGCATGGAAGGAAGAGCTACCGGAAGATCACGTAAGTCATCTTCATTGATCGCCTTCCGCAACGACTAAAGCTGTGTTTCTGATAGTGGTTGCCGATGGCGTATTATCCGGAACAGGGGGGTAAACGAGGACATTTCTACCACGTGTTCAATACGGTATCACATTTTGCTTTGACTTACTATCGCCTTTACTCACTAGTTTCAATTCCAACAGCCATTGTACTACAAAATACCCGAGGGGGCAGTGTTATAGCTATTTGTCCATCCTTCCAGTTGCCAGTGGTGGCAGGATTGGAAGCTTGATGCTAACATGCCTACATTGAATAATTCAGATGACTGTCATTAGTGTCATTAGAGTATATTTTGTAGATAGATCCTCATTACTCAGATTCTCACCATTGTTTTCAGGCTCCTTCTCACCATAGTTTCGAGTTGAAGGGGCAATATATGAACATTTCATGCAACGCTTCATCCTAGAACATATCAGCCACTGATCACATGATAATCATGTGCAAATCCAAACCCTTAACTTTATCATAGTGGAACTTTGTGCCAGTCCCCGACTCTGACCGAGGTGCTCACAGTTTTTGTATGAGCAAGGGTGTATGATTGATTCTATGCGTAGTACAAGTAACAGGTGGTGTGGTAGTTACAGTAATAAAATTACATTACAAATAAGAATTGCTACAAAAAATAACATTAGAAACTATTACAACACTAGAAACTATTACAAATGTACCTACAAGAATCACTACAAAAAATGTTACCAATGTGCCTATAGGAATGACCCTAGAAGCTATTACAAATGTGCCTATAAGAATCACTACAAAAAATAGCACTAGAAACTGTTTCAAATGTCCGTATAACAATCACTACAAAAAATGACCCTGGAACCTGTTACAAATGTACATATAAGAATCACTACAAAAATGACCCTAGAAACTATTACAAATGTGTCTACAAGAATCACTACAAAAAATAACCCTAGAAACTGTTACAAATGTGCCTACAAGAATCACTGCAAAAAATGTTACCAATGTGCCTATAAGAATCACTACAAAAAATGACCCTAAAAGCTATTACAAATGTACATATAAGAGTCACTACAAAAAATAGCACTAGAAACTGTTACAAATGTGTGTATAAGAATTACTACAAAAAATGACCCTAGAAGCTATTACAAATGTACGTATAAGAATTACTACAAAACAATGAGCCTCGAAACTGTTACAAATGTGCCTACAAGAATTACTACAAAAAATGTTACCAACATGCCTATAAGAATCACTACAAAAAATGACACTAGAAACTGTTACAAACGTGCCTATAAAAATCACTACAAAAAATAAGCCTAGAAACTGTTACAAATGTTCCTACAAGAATCACTACAAAAACTGTTACAAATGTGCCTACAAGAATCACTACAAAAAATGTTACCAATGTGCCTATAAGAATCACTACAAAAAATGACACTAGAAACTGTTACAAATGTGTGTATAAGAATCACTACAAAAATTGACTCTAGAAACTACTACAAATGTGTCTATAAGAATCATTACAAAAAATGTTGCTAATGTGCCAATAAGAATCACTACAAAAAATGACCCTATAAACTGTTACAAATGTGCCTATAAGAATCACTACAAGAAATAGCACTAGAAACGTACAAATCTGTGTATAACAATGTATTAAAATCTATACAAGAAAATTTTATTATATTATGTACTAACTTCTAGTATGTGATATAATTATGTCGAGTAGGTGTCCTACAATATCCTATTATACTGCATAGTGTGAGTTTAGAAGAGCCTTATAATAGTTTACAAAGTTGCCTACTGACTCTTAGTATATTGTTTAGTAATATTCAGTAAGTCAACAATAACCTATTATGCTGGTTCCTAATGTACTAGTTTGGAGTGGGCCATTGCTTCGCATGGCAGTAACGATTCCTGAAAGATTATAATAAGATGTCTTTAAGACTGCACTAATTTGAGTTACCATTTAATAATATTTACTGAGTCTTTTATAATAGCCAGTGTAGAGCAGAGGTGGGGCTAACCTGTGCAGAGACCAATACCAGTACACAATACCAGTACACATAGGTACAGGTAGAGGTCACAGACATGCAACCTTCACAGACACATGTCCTTTATAGAAGAAGTTTTGAGAAGATTAGAAGAGGGAGGGAGATATGGACAATAGGATCAAAGAGCAACAAGACAGAGGTAATGACCAGCCTATTATCACCATTCCCCCTTATATATCGCATCATTTTCACTAGCCTACCTCCCTTATTACCCATGCACATTGCTCTTGCTAGCACATGCTGCTCTCATTAGTATAACTACTCTCACATATGCATAGTGCCCTCATGCACCTATTGCACTTTTACAATTAGATAGCACTCTGGCAAACTCATTACTATAATGCGTCTTATTCTACAATTTTTCCTCAAATTCTATAATTTTTTTAAGTCTGAAAACTCTCACTGCTGCTTAAAGTACATTACATAATCTGTCTGTCTGTTGTAAAGTATATTATTCTGTCATTTTGCTGAAGCTTAAAGCACCCACTTTCAGTTTAAAAAGCATTTTGTACTATGTTTAGTGAGTGTAGCTATAAATGTTCACATCTGATAAAATTTCCAATTTTTTTCATGTTTCTGAATCTTAACACATTATATTTTATCTTAGATTTATTTAAAGTGCATTTTAAATACTAGAAAGTGTCATACTTTCACCAATAATTACTATATAAAAAGTCAATAAAAGCTAAAGATATGAAAAAGTGTAGTAAAGATTAAGATCAGAAAGGACTGAGCACATTACTAATAATTGCATATAAAACAATAATGGTCTTCTTTTCAAGACATGTTTCAATTACTTGTAGTTAACTTATAGCCACTTAAGGACAGCTATTACAAAATTTATAGCTAAATCTAGTGCCTGACTTAATTTAGACATGTCTTACATGTGAAATTTTGTAGTTAAAATTTATTTTTATAATTTAGATGAAATTATCTCCAAAGCAAGCATCCATTGCCATGTCACTGCCATACTGATACCTTTATATCTCAGAAATTATAATTATATTGTCTTATAATAATTTCTTATTAGAAGTAACTATAAAATTGGGCATTTTATAAGTTTTCTAAACTGCACAGTAGTCAAATTTACTTTATGGGCATATTTATAGCATCTCTTCTAGTAGTAGCTACAATGTTTCTTATTTTACAATTTTTCCTCAATTTTTATGATTTATCTAAGCCTAAAAACTGTCATTTCTGCTTAGAGTTTATCATATAACCTGTTTATTAAAAAGCACATAGTTGTGTGACTTTGCTAAAGCTCAAAGCACTTACTTTCAATTTAGAAGAATTTTGTAGTATGTTTACTGAGAATAGCTATACATTTTCAGATTTTATAAATTTTCTGAATTTTTTATAAATTTGAATCTTAGAAACATTTTATTTAATTTGAGATTTATTTAAAGTGTGTCCTAATGTTCACCTTTGGGTGAAAACTATATAAGATTTATTAGTGTATGAATTTTCAAAGTCTTTACAGCCTTTCTCAGGTTTGAAATACTCACTTTTGCTTGAAATTCATCATACAGTTCATTTACTAGTAAAAACAATAAGTTGTGTTATTTTATAATTTTTTATAATTTTTGGAAAGTTAAAACACTTTGAGACACTCAAACTGTATATTGTAATACATCTAATAGTGACAATGATAAAGCAGATTTTTATTATTAATTTTCTGAGTTCAATAGCACTCACTTTCACTTTAAAAGTGCAAGTGCGTTTTATAGCATGTTTACTAATCAGAACTATGAATCTTGTGATTTCACAATTTTTCAGATTAATTGGCATTTTTCTGAGTCTCAAAATATCTATTGGTAATAACTAAAAGGTTTCTTAGTCTCTCAATTTTTTGGCAGTTTTTACAATTTTTATCAGCCTTAGAATAATCAATTTAAAATGTATACTATAATTTACCTACTAGTGAAAACTATAAGATTTGTTTTCTAGGCTTTTTTTCGATTTGTTGTAACAGTTTTGAGATCACTTACTTTGACTTGAAGAACAAATGTGCCTATAAGAATCACTATAAAAAATCAGACTAGAAGCTGTTACAAATGTGTTTATAAGAATCACCACAAAAAATAAGACTAGAAACTGTTACAAATTTGCTGATAAGAATTACTACAAAAAATGAGACTGAAAACTGTTACAAATGCACCTATAAGAATCACTACAAAAAATGAGACTAGAAACTATTATAAATGTGCCTATAAGATTCACTATGAAAAATAGCACTAAAAACTGTTACAAATGTATGTATAAGAATCACTACAAAAAATGAGACTGGAAACTATTACAAATTGGCTTATGAGCATCACTACAAAAAATGAGACTAGAAACTGTTACAAGTGCACTTATAAGAATCACTACCAGAAATGAGACTAGAAACTGTTACAAGTGTGCTTGTAATAATCACTACTAAAAATGACACTAGAAACTGTTAGAAATGTGTCTATAAGAATCACTACAAAATCACACTAGAAACTGTTAGAAATGTGCTTATCATAATTACTACAAAAATTGTCACCAGAAACTGTCACAAATGTGGTTATATGAATCACTACAAAAATTGAGACTAGAAACTGTTACAAATGTGTCTATAAGAATCACAAAAAATGAGACTAGAAACTGTTACAAATGTGCTTATAAGAATCAGAGTTGTAGGGTAATTAGAAATTGTTACAATTCCTACTAAGTGTGCTGAAAGTGTGGATTTGTAATCTAGTTACAAGTTGCTACAATCTCTACTAAGTGCACTAAAAGTGCGGATTTGTAATGCCTAAAGGCAGCTCTACAATTGTTACTAACATAGCTAATAACCCGGAATTGTAGAGTTGTAGGGCAGTTAGAAATTGTTACAATGTCTACTAAGTATGCGAAAAGTGTAACTTTATAGTTTAGTAACAAGTTGCTACAATGCCTACTAAGTGTGTCAAAAGGTGACTTTATAATCGAGTTACAAGTTGCTACAATGCCTACTAAGTATGCCAAAAGTGTGACTTTACAGTCTGGTAACAAGTTGCTACAATGCCTACAAAGTGCACTAAAAGTGCGGATTTGTAATGCTTAAAGGCAGCTCTACAATTGCTACTCACAAAGTTAATAGCCCAGAATTGTAGATTAGTTAGAAACTCAGAGTTGTAGGGCAGTTAGAAATTGTTACAATGTCTACTAAGTATGTGGAAAGTGTGACTTTATAGTTTAGTAACAAGTTGCTACAATGCCTACTAAGTGTGTCAAAAGGTGACTTTATAATCTAGTTACAAGGTGCTATAATGTCTACTAAGTGCACTAAAAGTGCGGATTTGTAATGCTTAAAGGCATCTCTACAATAGTTACTAACAAAGTTATTAACTCAGATTTGTAAGATGCTTTACAATTATTGCTTCAAGCTGGGCTTGTAGCCTAGTTAGAAGTCATAGCACCTATTATTACATCTGCCAAAAGTCTGAACATATATTGCTTGAAGGCTGCCCTAGAACTGTTACTAAGAAAGCTAATAACTCGGACTTGTAGACTGATCAGAATTGATTACAAATGCATGAAGTAAGGCCAAAAGTGCGGACTTCTAATTCCTTCTAATGGGTACTGATAAAGCTAGAAAGTCGGACTTACCTGTGATGAACCATGAAAGGACTTGTAAGCTGAAGCTGAGTTGTTTTATGAGGTCCAGTGGTCAAGTGGTTAAGTTGGTGACTGTTGATGAATATCTGTGTTTGTGAAGGTTTTGGTTCAATTTCGGGCCAGGGCAAATAAATTTGGATTCATTCTGGCCTAATTTGGATTAGTTCCGGCGGAACAACCTAATGAGGATGTCCCTGTGCTTGTCACCGTTAGTTGCGGGCACAACCACAGGGGCATGTGGAAGCACTTGAAAGGCAACTGACTTTCCGGATTTAGGCAAGTGTATTTTGGGGTTGGAAACCTCAAATAAATGCGGAAAAATGCTGGGTACCTCATGTAAGTGAGTTACCCAATTGGGTATGCTGACTAAGCATTTCTCTTTTGGTTTATCTCAGCGCTGTTAAGGTCATTTCTCACTCAAATCTCAACAGAATTTAATGTTTCATGGTGTGAATTAGGTCCAATTTTTTCCCTGAATCCAATGGTGATAGTCTCAATGCACAAATTTGACCATAACAAGTTGTGGAAGCTAATCTTAATGTATATTGGAGTAGAGCTATTATCTGTTATCTAATCTAAGTGTTACAGTCATCCTACACTTGGCAGACGATCAATACACAGGAGCAGGAGATAGGCCCCTTTTATACCTCTTACTATCCCTCTAAATGGTGACTTATATCATCACCCTTCATGCACCACCAAAAAAATCCCCTTCTTACCTCGCCGCTCTGCACCCATTTGTTATTACCAGCCCTTCTAGGTTGCAATCAGACCAACCACTATAATATGGGTCCCCATAGATGATATGCACATTGCCACATGCCCATAGTCACAACTACAACCAAGGGACATGACTTTAGGTGTGTGCCGTATCAGACATTTTCGACCATTTAGACATTGCGCTCCAGATAGGTATCTGCACTGCAATGATGCCTCCTTTCATGCATCCTTGTGGTCGCACCCACAACTAATGGTCACGACCACAGAGATGTGCCACATCTGGCATACCCACATCGCACTTAATATAGATATTTGTGTGTCCCTGTGGTTGCACCTGCAGCTAACTATCATGATTACAGAAGCATCCCACATCTGCCATACCCACATCGCACTTAATATAAACCTCCACGTGCCTCTGTGATTGCGCTGTATATTGAAGTACAGCTAATATCTGTTATCTAATCTAAGTGCCACAGCCACTCATCTGTTAATAGCTATTTGTACAAGTCATGTCGGTTTTCAATACAACTTTTTTTGAATGTACGCTTGTAGTTACAGTCAGTAGCTGTTAGAACATTTGTAGATGAAGCCTGACCCTAACCCTTGTGGCATTCCTACAAACTCAGCCCTAACCCTAGGTTACACATACAAAAGTTGTAGTCAAAAGTCGTTCCCATGGTTTGGGAAAAACATCGTTGTTACAACGCTCCTCAGTTATGGCACGTCTTTTATTTTTCTTTTCTTCATTCCCTTTACTTTACCAGACCACGTGATCCAACACGTGACTCATCGGAGCGCAACCTCCAATTCTCTACCCAGATGACCAGAACCTCCAGTCTAGGGTTACACCGGATCCAACTCTGGACCTTCTTCTTATCACACATACAAGACGTGCATGTATGCCTCATCTTACCTCGTTCTGATACACAACTCGTTATCCCCATTAGTACTGATTATCTCTCACAATCTTACTCAGCTTTCCCATGCATATTACTTCCTCGCTGTTACCTCACCCAGACATCGTTTCACCTTATCTAGCCAATGAACGATCCCATATTACTGCGTAGTACTGCAGATACCTTTTGTATAAGTAGACGACCTCGTCGAGCTGGATCTCCATCTCGACCTGGTTACCATTAAACCAGCTTTTCACTTGCCTTTGACTGAGATCGACCGTTAGTAGCAGACAGCTACTGCGAGTCATAAGAACGAACTCTGATCAACCATCAGTGCGAGGACATCGCCAGAAGTGTCTCTTGAATGGACTTGTGTCTTAGAATAAGACCTTGTCTCATGACGACTTGACTTGATGCTCGTGTTTCGCTGCCGTGTAACATTAGGTCGAGATCTTATTACTCTCTGTGACTTCCCAAAGTCTAATAATGAACTACCGACTGGACCGAACCTTGAAGACTGAACAATACACCCGGATTCAATTGCTAAAGCGCCGTTTGAGATTACTTTGTAATCGAGGCAGCTGAAGGGATAGACTGATCACTTATCTTCGGAGAGGGGTCTGTCTGAAAGACCAATAAGCCGAGGAGGCTGAGGTAATCACTCGAGCAATTAGCAAATAGGTGTATCAGTTTGAAGACAGAAGACACTCTACGGGCTTGTTAGCCGATGATGAATGAACCCACTTAGTTGAGGACGGTGTGCAGTCTACGTGTAGACATAGGCCACACAGAAGAATTTATCCATGCTGGATTTGAACTACATCAACCCGACCACTCTTCCAGAGCAGTACTGCGAGCACCTCCCATCCCAAGTGGAGTGGAGCACAGAACAAAACGCACATTTTATAGGAGGAAGGCCCGTATTCATCAGGCCAGACAACCATAACTTCAACTACTCCCCAGAGGAATTCGAAAGAACACTCCCCCATAATCTTGGTGGGATAGTACTCCAGCATATCGCAGACAGCGATATAATGACCTCCTATCCAGGAGAGAGACCAGACGCCCCTTGGAACCCCCCTGTCCAGAATCCTATACCCCAACCGACTCTTGCACCAATTGTACCCGATTACATACCACCGATGGCTACAGTTACCATGGATGAAGGTCGTCACCATGCCAGTCAGAAGGAACTTGGTTTTAGAAAACCCAAGATCTTCAACAGTTCAGACCGTTTGAAGCTTAGGGAATTTATAAACCAATGCAAGAATTACATAGCTGAAAATAGCCATGTCTACCAGGAGGACAATCAGAAGATTGCATTCGTGCTGTCACACATGCAAGGAGGAATGGCAGGATCATGGGCGCAGAGCTTTATAGAAACAGAACTCACCGATGACGACTTCCTTTCTTATGGAAGTTGGAGAGAGTTTATTACGAACGTGAGCAAGGCATTTGGTGATGAAAATATTAAAGAAACTGCTCGTACCTTGCTGCGTAACATCAAGCAAGGAACTCATACTGCAGACGACTATATTGCCGAATTCCGATTGCTTGAATCAAAAGTGAAATTAGAAGATGCCAGAAATATCCAATATTTCAAGTGGGGACTTAACGACCCACTCCGACAAAGGATATATGGGATGGAAAGCATGCCCAAGACACTTGACAAGTGGTACGAATGCACCTCGCAGTTTGACAACCAATGGAGATCTGCTCAGATCTTCAAGCGAGGAGCCACTACAACGACACGAGGAAAAAGCCGATCTACCCATCGTCCCTACTACTCGACTTCTACGAAGGATCTGAACGCAATGGATGTTGATCGTATCAATATCTCATGCTTATCCCCGGACGAGCGATAGAAGAGAATGAAAGAAGGATTATGTTTCCTATGCGGAAAGAAGGGCCATATGGCCAATGACAGACAGTTCCACTTTCAGTCTGGAAGTTTCATCCATGCTAGAACGATACAGCCTGGGTTGGACACAGATATGATCACATGGATCAAGAAGATGCGAGAAGATCTCGCACAGAAGAAAGAGATGCCGAAGGAAGAAACCAGAGAGGAACAGATCACCTATGTGCGAAACGTCTTCAATGACATGACTGATGAAGAACGAACCCAGTTGAGTTTTTGAAATAATGGCCACTAGTAATGCATGGACCATCGCATCTTACCGTATCTCCCCTTGTTATTTGTAACACTAGCAGAAATTCAATCACTGTGAATATTTCGTTGGGAGAGAAGGAAGACGTTACAACAGAAGCCTTGATCGATTCCGGTGTGGCCGAAATGTTCATACATATTCGCTTTGCGGAAGAAAATGATTTCATCAAATGGGAATTACCGAAACCAATTAAAGTCGTAAATGCGGACGGCACACCAAATCAGATGGGTACCATTACCCACTGTACTTGGAAGATGATGAAGATTAGAGGAAGGAAGACACTTACTCGCTTCCTCTTGACCGGCATTGGCAAAGAGAATATACTTCTCGGCATGCCATGGCTTAAACACCTCAATCCGATGATCAATTGGGAAACCGGTGACTTTTGGCTTGGCAAAGATGCCAAATGGCCACCGAAACCCACCGTCAAAGATGTACCAGATGAAGAAGTTTCAATTTTCAAGCAAGATGACCTTCCAGAGTTAATCACCACCGAAACTTCTCCGACCTCATTTGGACATTCAGAATCTATCAGAGAAATCATGGCCGATAACACTGAGCGTGGTGAGTAACCTGCAGTGCGGAATAATACTGAACCAGATGACCCACCATTAGAACCCTCTATGGATCAGCTTGATGACGACGATCTAGTTATCTCCTATATTGCAGGAGAACCAGTTATTGGAATATTTGAACCCATCAGGAAGGAATCGCCTTTGACAAATGAAGAGACTGGAACTGCAGTCTTCACCATACGAAGAGGCCCCACCATTGGAAGAATGACACACAGTACTCGATCCCCATTATTCTGCAATGCACAGAATACGGTCTTTTACAAACCATCCAGTAAATCACAGGAATTGGCACAACAAGCACACAAGGAAGCATCAGCTGCAGACAAACCCAAAACCGTCGAGGAGTTGGTCCCCAACTACCTCCACAATTTGAAGTCAGTCTTTGAAAAGAAAGCAGCCGAACACTTCCCAGAAACCAGGCCTTGGGACCACGCCATTGACTTGAAACCTGATTTTATTCCACGCGACTGTAAAGTCTATTTGTTATCGCTCAAGGAACAAGGAGCGATGGATGACTTCTTGAAAGAAAATCTGCAAAAGGGATACATTCGACCATCGAAATCCCCCATGGCCTCACCATTTTTCTTCATTGGAAAGAAAGATAGAGCACTACATCCCTGTCAGGATTACCGATACCTGAATGAAGGGACGGTGAAGAACGCCTACCCCCTTTTGCTCATTTCTGAGCTCATGGATCAACTCAAGGGTGCATCGATCTTTACGAAAATGGATTTACGCTCCGGATATAACAATGTCAGAGTCAAAGATGGTGACCAATGGAAGGGCACGTTTAAGACAAACTGCGGACTTTTCGAACCTATGGTCATGTTCTTTGGACTCTGCAACTCCCCGGCAACTTTCCAAATGATGATGAATGCACTCTTCGAGGACATGATCGATGAAGGATGGATAGTCATTTACATGGATGATATCCTCATCTTCTCGAACAATTTGGAAGAACATCACGTTCGAACCCGATGCGTACTCCAATGACTCAAAGACAACGACCTATTCCTTAAACCGGAAAAGTGTTTCTTTGATGTTAAGGAAGTCGAATTCCTAGGCATGATTATTCGAGAAAACTACATTGGCATGGACCCTATCAAACTCAAAGGAATTGCAGAATGGCCTGAACCAAGCACGGTAAAAGGTGTTCGCTCTTTCCTCGGGTTTGGAAACTTCTACTGGAAATTCATTGCCAACTTCTTGCATATTGCCAAACCATTGACAAACCTTACGTGTACTGCAGCTGGATCTCCACCTTTTGAATGGACGACAGAATGTCAGACAGCTTTTGATATATTGAAACAACGATTCAGTACTGCCCCAGTGTTGTTGCTGCCTGACAAAGCAAAACCCTTTATTGTCGAATCTGACGCTTCCAAGTTTGCCATGGGTGCAGTTTTACACCAAGCCGATATTAATGGAGAACTCCATCCTTGTGCCTACATTTCACAGATGCTCAATCCAGCTGAACAGAACTACGAAATCTATGACCGTGAACTCCTCGGAATCATTCGAGCCCTTACCGAATGGTGCCATTACCTTGAAGGGTCTCCTCATCCCGTTGAAGTTCGCAGTGATCACAAGAACCTCACGTACTTCCGTACAGCCCAGAAGTTAAACTGCCGACAAGCACAATGGAGTCTCAAATTATTGCAATTCGACCTTCACCTTATCCACGTCCCTGGCACTCAGATGATCCAATCCGATGTGCTATCTCATCGTAACGGACTCGATGACAGTGAAAGTGACAATGAAGATTGCATCCTTTTGCCTGATGCACTGTTCGTGCGATCCATTTCCTCGACATTATTTGATGAAATCAGGAATCATGCAGCAAAAGACTTCATTGTTCATGAAGCCCTCGAAGCAATTACGCACAAAGGGCCATTTCCCATGAAATCATCGCTCTCCGACTGGGAAGTTCACGATGGTGTCATCCTTTACAAAGGAAAGATTTACGTCCCACCATCCAAACCTCTCCGTCGCGACCTCGTTCGACTACATCATGACTCCCCCACCATAGGACACCCTGGAAAATTCAATACTCTTGAACTATTACACCGTGAATTTTGGCGGCCCGGCATGTATGCATTTGTCAACAATTTCATCGAAGGCTGTGCCGCCTGTCAACAGATGAAACTGAATACTCACCCAACTCGTATTCCCTTGGAACCAATCCCCGCAGACCCACATGCATTACCATTTTCCTGTTGCACCACAGATTTTATCACCGACCTCACTGTTTCCAATGGCTTTGATTTAATTATGGTCGTAGTAGACCATGACCTTACGAAGGGGGTGATTCTTATGCCCTGCCTCAAAACGATCACTGCTGAAGGAACAGCCAAGATTTTTCATGACAAAGTCTACTCGCAATTTGGATTACCTGACTGAATCATCTCGGATAGAGGACCTCAATATGCATCTAAGGTCTTCCAAGAGTTAAATCGACTACTCCAGATTAAATCATTGATGAGCACAGCTTATCACCCTCAGATGGACGGAGAAACAGAACAAGTCAACCAGGAGCTGGAAATCTATCTTCGACTCTATTGCGGAAACAACCCTGAAATATGTGCCGATTGCCTGCCAGACCTCGAGTTTTGTCATAACACGAGGGAACACTCGGCACGGAAGATGAGCCCATTCTGCATCATGATGGGATACGAACCACGTGGACTCCCTTCTGTATTCCCAACTATGAACGTTCCATCAGTTGAATCTAGGCTTGACATGTTGCAGAAGATAAGGCTAGAAGCATTAGCCATGCACGAATTAGCCCGACAACAGATGGCAGACTGAGTCAGACAAGGATCACCGAAGTTTACACTAGGACAGAAGGTCTGGCTAGACTCGAGGAACCTGAAGGTCAACTATGCCTCGTGCAAGATAGCACCTAAGCGTGAGGGATCATTCGAAGTCGTCGAAGTCATCGGACCAGCCAACTATCATCTCAAACTCTCGAAGACCTGGCGAGTTCATTCCATATTTCACGCCGCCCTTCTATCCCCTTATCGCAAAAACAACATACATGGTCCGAATTACATGAACCCACCACCTGATGTCGTTGATAACAAAGAAGAGTACGAAGTCGAAGCCATCCTGAATCACAAGACATACCAAGGTCACCTGAGGTACTTAGTCAAGTGGAAGGAATATTTGTCAGCAGAAAACTCGTGGGAACCTGCCCACAATTTACAGAATGCAAAGCAAACCCTCGATGCATATAAAAGGACCAGGGGAATCAAGTAAAGGATGAGGAAACTGGAATGACTACCACGATGGCCTTCCTTGTTATCTTCCTAATCATCCTCCACTGCACGACCCTCGCTTTCCTTTGGATCATCCACCAAATCCTTATCAGACGACTCATCAAACACACCCTCTTTATACGAGACAACCCACACGCTAACGGCTGGGGTGATCAGAACGATGCTTGGAACTGACCAGGCAGTTCTTATCTCTGTGGGAATATTCTTTATCGCCTAATGGATTTTCATCTATTTGATTGTCACCCCAGCTGTACTTACCTCAAATGTTAACAGAACCTGGCAAGAGTCACAGCACTGCTGTGTAAATTAGTCAGTGCGATTGTACATCTTGTTTTATAAGGCTCAATGGCTGTAATACATGAACCACACTCTGTAATACATAAACAGGGCTGGGCCAGGGTGTTGTAAAACAAGGCTTTGGCCTATTTTGACACCGGCACCGGGCAGATTATTCCGGTATAATGGCTCCGGGCCCAAAATAATTCTGTACAGCTGGCTGGGCCGGGCATGGCCCATCGGCATATGGTGGCACTCTCCGTACAGACCAAATAAGGTATGTTATTCCCACCTCTTTTATTCAGTTAGAAATTTTCTGGGTTGGTGTGGGGGTGGGTTGGGGCCGATCCTTTGCAAAATTCCAGTCTGTTAGTGCATAGTAAACATAGGGGAACATAGAACTAGTCAACAAGGCATAATGCCATACAGGTAATGCATAATAATGAAAACTTCGCAAAAAACATATCATAAAACATATCGTAAAACATATGCAGTCGTCTCGCGAAATACACTCACCACCCCAGAATACACATGCAATGATTACTCAGTCAGAATCGAAGCTGTCGAACTCCTCCTCCTGGCCGGCCAGCTCCTGCGCATCGTCGTCGGCGAAATCTGACTCAGAAGAGTCTGACTGAGTATCGGCGTCGTCCATGATGATATCGTGATCGTCGTCCATGAGGTGTTCATGGTCACGGCCCATCTCCTCTTGCGTGCCAGGTACGATGGCCAGCACCGAGATCTCGATGGCGAAGGAGGTATTGGGAGTCACATGGAGGTGAGCAGCATTGGTGGGGGAAGAGTCTTCTTGGTCCAAGCCACGAGCGATGGTGCCAGGAGAGTTCAGAGGCAGGTATTTCAAGATCCAGCTGTGTTCAATGCTGACTTTGAGGAAGAAAGCATGCCAACATTGCACACTCTTGTGAGCGAGTCGACATCGAATTGCCGCTTGCCTCAATGCATATGCTCGACGTCCGCGCTGTATGTCATATCGACTGGGCATATCTCCTGCATGATGCTCCCACCAGTCTGCCTTCCACATCATGAACCCGAGTGTCCTCTTCATCTTTCTGATGAGAACCATGGCCTCCTCTTCCCACCGTGCTGCTCAGGCCATGGTCTTTGTCCACTCTACGTGCAGGTGATCATTGACCTCTTCTGGTACAGCATGATTTTCTTGGACAGCCTCTTCGTGTGCCGTAGTTGGTGCCAGCGTTTCTGCAGTAGGCGTACGTCATGGGACCAGCCAGATCCAAGACGGCTCACAGTGTCCTTTACCCCGCCTTGACTTCTTCTTCTTTTCCTCCTCCTCCTCCTTTCCAGGACCGCAATTATTGGCATCAGTGAGTTTGTGAAAATGCAGTTGCCAGTCTCCATCTGGGTTGAGAGCGAGAAGCGCACAATGAGCATTGTGATATCGCGCAACAGCCAAGGCGATCTTGAGGTTGAATGCTTGAATGGTCGTCTTCGATCTCGTGTTCACGCGCTGGCCAGCACCTGCGGTATTAGCCCTGTACTTACTGAGGAGACCGGCATGGATGTGACGCAGGCAGTGGGCCTCTTCGAGAGAGTCTTCAATCTGGGCCACGCGAACAGCTGTGGTTCCCACCATTGTATTACAATTGCCCACAACACTGGGCAGGCCATTGTGCACAACTCACCAGCCATTGTAATTGTAATAACACTGGGCACATTGTAATACAATGGCAATTACAATGCTGACCACATTGTAATTGGAAAAAGAAGTGTTCACAGTGAAAGTTGAACCCCTGACCTCATGGCCGGAGTTTTGCTTATATAAGCTACACAAGACACATGCTTTAACCACTACACTATTGGTGCTCGCTGTTACTTCAGCCTCAATTGTGATGAGTCTGTCCACTACAATATAATATACAAGCTTCTATTACAAATACTAACACTTGTTACTGTTCCTTTCTTAACTCTTTGTTAAATACTATTATAATGTCTATTTATGTTCTCTTACTTGTTTATCTCTTTTTCTAATTCTTTAAAGTAATAGTATTAGATATAATATTAAAATGTGCATTAGAAGCTTGTATATTATATTGTAGTGGACAGACTCATTATTTACAATTGAGGCTGAAGTAATAGCGAGCACCAATAGTGTAGTGGTTAAAGCATGTGTCTTGTGTAGCTTATATAAGCAAAACTCCGGCCATGAGGTCAGGGGTTCAACTCTCACTGTGAACACTTCTTTTTCCAATTACAATGTGGTCAGCATTGTAATTGCCATTGTATTACAATGTGCCCAGTGTTATTACAATTACAATGGCTGGTGAGTTGTGCACAATGGCCTGCCCAGTGTTGTGGGCAATTGTAATACAATGGTGGCCACCACTGGTGATGCGAAACTGACGCTCCTTGTTGGCGATGCCGGCCCTGCAGCCAGATGCTCGCTCTGGCTGCACCAGCTCTGACAGCAGGTACAACTTGAGGTGCTCTGTGGGGGTCACTCGATTCTCTTCTGCTGCGGTCTTGTTGAGAGTGTCAGTATTGCGGAACATGGGGACAACGGGCATGTATGTAGCTTGGAATCCCATCCATGTCTTGATATGCCACGTGAGGGTGTTCCTTTTCTCCTGCAAGGTGGACTTCTTTAATGGATTGCGGAGCACTCCCTCACCTTTGACACGCAGCACGCGCCTGTTAGCAAACAATAAGTTAACATGCCCGCCAATAGGCAGCCGGAAAAAAAAACTTTCTGTCTGTCTTCGAGTTCGAGACCAAGGCAAATGAATTTGCTTGCAGTCAGCTGGTCGTGGAGAGGTAGTGCACCCTGCAGTGCCTCTAGCGCTTCTTCCTCCGCAAGCTCCAAGCGAATCGTCACCATGGTTGTGGCTGTTGAATGAGGTGAGTCATATAATATCTTTCAGCAGTCGCAAACTTACATGCAGTCAGCTCCGCATATGGATCGGGCTGCATTTTGTCCGCGTTCCAGTCTGCGATCATTTCCTGCCACTTGATGATGGTGGTGGGCATGAATGTTGAGGAGAATCTTTCTGCAATCTCGCAGTGCTTCTTCGACATGAGAAGGGCCTCAATGAGATGCTTCAACAGGTGTGAATCTGGAGTTCATGACATTAGCAGGAGAGTACGAAGATGAGCAACTGGTACTCACTGAGATCGACAAGCTTCCGCCAATTCCATGAGCTCCAGTGGTCATCCAGTGTTGAATGTCGGGCCCCCGGACCCATCTCACGTGTGCTTATGCCGACCTGACCAATATGTGCTCACTCCTGCTCTACTGTCTCGCCATGCATGCAACCTACCCCAGGCAAGAAGTTGAAGGACCATGTTGTTCGACACTTTGCTCCATGGCCTTCGATGTGGGCTTTAGGAATCATGGCATGCATATCGACGGCATCGAGGATCTGCATATCATTGGGCATATCATCGAGCCGCTTGTAGAAATTCTTCTACCAGTTGCATGCAATGTTGTAAGAAAAATCGAGGTCGGGCACAGCTTTTTGCTCTTGTGTCTTGCGGCTGACTTTGAGTGCCGACAAGATGGTGTAGTCGACGTTGCAATATCTGTAAATATGGTGGCATGAGAAAGGTAACAATATGGAGGGTCGAGCGAAAGTACCTCTCCCCCTTCTGTAGATCGCCAATACTGTTGGGAAGGACGAAACAATGGCATGCACACTTCACGCCTACAACGCCGGTCACACTGAGGCCACTGTTTGTCCCTTTACTGTAGGCCTGCTTGACAGCGTTGAGCTCTGACTCGCACGTCGTGATCTGGTATGCAATTTATTAGCTACACCACGCTAGAGAGCGTGATAGCTCCACTGACCTCACGCTGATCCTTACACGTTCTCAGATAATCCTGGTACGCATCCTCCATGACAAAATACACCCAGCCGGAGCCTAGCTCAGGATCCTTGAAACCGCACTCCTTGAGCTTGAGGCAGAAGCACGCATCGATGGTGATAATCTTACGATTGGCCCATCTGCGATGGTAAAACAGATTAGTCATTCCGGGACAACATGGTCATGCAAAGACATACCTGGTCTCTTCGGACTCGGTTTCCCAGCCATCTTCGAGATTAATACCGGGGTGGAGACACGCAGGGCACTCTACCACGCACTCACCGGCCTTCGTGGCTTCAATACCAGCAGGATCATGCCCTCTTTCAGCCCTCTTAAGCATCTTCAGATGCTGCCACTGATGAACCACCATTGAGGCCTCGTTCCAGCAATACTGACAATCGAGCGTTAGCTGGTTTGCAAGGAGCTCTCAGTAAGTACTCGTTTCTGTAGTGCCGCATTGTCTGTCTTCTGGAGGATTGCTTTGTAATAATCGTACAAATTGATCTTGCCCTGCAGTGTGAGGAGGTGGAATGTGTTGAGATAATCAAAGGTGAAGGTGATGCATGGGCATTCAGGCATAGCTGAATACCATCCCATGCACAAGAGCTGTACTCGGTCGTTATACTCGCCGGGAGAGTTCCCGCACTGGCAGAAGTCGATGTTTACTTGGTGGACACTGCTGATGTCCACAACAGTGAAACGCGCAGGCTCACGTTACATCATGTAGCATTCACTATCCATGTGTCCTAGCTGGACGCGTAGTCCCAGAGCGTCAAGGTTCATCTTCTCGAAGAATTCACCATTCCAGTGCTATAATAACGAGGAGACATACCTGTATTCAATGGTGGGGTAACTGAGCGTGCTGCTCCAGAAGGCACTCGCTGCAGTACAAGGATCCCCGGAAGCAATCCGAGCAATGCATGTCGGCCGCACGGTGGTGGATCGCACAGTTTCTGAGCTCCCTCGCATCTCCTAAACCTTCATGTCAAATCAGCTCCTCAAGGTACATCTCACGATAAGCCAGCCAGCACCAAAGGCCTGCCTGCAATCCAATGATTAGTGCAAAAGCGGACTAGTGATGCAGAGACTTACTGACAACGACTTTTTCTTGTTCCTCGCTTTTTGTCTCATGTCTCCCCAGTCCTCCAGCTCAATGACATTGATGAGGTCGTCCTCCCACTCGGGGTCACCATCGTCGATCTGAATTGTGGCAACATCGTGGTCGTCCAGGGCTTCCACTGATAATACTTCGACAACTTGGTCCAGGCATGTCTGAGCTGCCGCTCGCATTGCAGTAGAGATCGTAGTTGAGAATGGTAGCTAGCTGAGGTGCAGGGTCCCCTGTATTGAAGATATTGGCAAGGGTGAGGACTTCAACTCGATGGCGTTTTGAACGCCTGCCGCCAGCTGAAGTCCGCGGGCATTTGCCCATTGCCAGCAGTTGTGCAGCCAGAAAAAATAAGCTTGGTGCAGAAGGAGATGGTAGGCTAGAGAGTGTGGAAAGGAAGATGTAGTGAGGCTGATGGTGGATGAAGAGGTGTGGCAGAGCAGTGGGAAGTCAGTGAGAAGTCAAGGCAAGACGTGACGTGACTTGTACCTGCAACTCACACCAACTGCAGACTCGCGCTTGTCTGCAGTTCACGTGAGTTGACAATCTTGCCTCACACCTCATTTCTACTTCTCGCAAGTATTGTAGTGTCAAAAAATATATTTTTGAGATCATATAGATTCACCGCTGGCCACTGGCCAAAATGCACAGATACATGCGGTATCCCCTGCATTCGAGACTCAACAACTCGTCCATTAAATGCATGACTCACTGACGGTCAATACCACATATAACCCACGACGAAATATATTTGAGCTACTCTACTGCGAACGCCTCGCACACCACATATAGCCCGTGACGAAATATATTTGACCTACACTACTGTGAACACATCGTACAGCACTTTACGCCCGCACTGAAACATGTTGGACATAAAATACTGCCCAATACTGCCAGACTTTCATACTACCGATGGCACATCATGCAGTGAACAAAAAGAGCACCAAAAATTCATTGCGCTCTGTGCCACGACAATGATACGTCGTATGACAACAATATTCTATGCAAGCAACACGATCAGCCACCCCACCCAATGCCAGATATACCACGCTCAGTGGGACGAGCCTACAGTACGGTGAGCAACTGGACGCGGTCGAGGGCCTCCACTGCATGGAACTTGCACCAAGTGTCCTCGTACAAAGGACCCTTCTCAAAAGCTGAGCCGGCCACTCCAATGATGAGGGGCTGGACGACGGTCCTGTGGTTGTGATGGTCGGTGGGTAAACACAACAGCGTGCCGCAGAAACACTTACCAGCCTTCGAACACGCCGGTCTCAAGACCCTGCATGACAGCGTACCACCGACGCCCCATAATGGGAGTAGTGGTTTGCAAAGGAGGACCAACATCGCCCGCAGCACCGGCCAGCACCACAACTCCAACTGTCACAGTGGGACCGCCAGTTGGCAGGACAGCAATGAGAGGGGCAGCGTCCACTTGCAACACCAGCACCGGTGCTACACCGACAGCTGCAGCTACCTGGTCGGGCGCATGAACAGGCACACTAGCCCACATGGCCTCTACTCTCTCTCCATCGGAACGCCCCATACCAGCCCACGAACGCTCCACGTTCTCAGCAGACATGCGCCCCAGCATGCGTTAAACTGGGTACCCTCCATCGCGAGCACCAGCATAGCCCGCGAGTCGCAATGGCTCAACAGATCCTCCTCCCGCTTGGGCTCCACCTCAGCTACGTATGTACTACAGTCAGTGATGGTATCATTGGCGCATGGTGTGCGTACCTTTGCCGAAAAACCATCCCCACACCGATGCAATGACGCCCCGCCTACTGGGAGGTGAGGGCTCCTCAAGATCGGGCTATCTCACACCACGCGCATGCAAAGGGCGGCCGTCAGCAGCGGTGACACGAGCAGAGAGGCGGCGAGTGACAACATGCGACTTACCTCGAGCTTGACCATTGCGCCCTGCTACGACTTGAAAAGATCTGTACAAAAGGTAAAAAAAAAGTAAGTAAGCGAAAGGAAAAGTAAGTAAAAACTTACTTTGCAAGTGAGAGCTGAGAGAAGGAGGACAAAGAGCGATGAGGATGAAGAGAAATGGGGAGACGATTTATATATCTGATCCGCATCGATTAGCCGAGGAATCAGATGGTCGCATGCCAATACCGATCTCTTCTGACCCCGATCCATCATTCCCAATGATCCCTATACTTTCCGTCCATTCAATTGCAGGCGTCCGTTTAGAGTTCGTGTGAAGCCGCCCGCCTGCAACATCAATGGGCCGCAAGCCCTGAGCTTCTGATGATCAGCTCAAGCTTCTCAACGTCCACATACCTTCTTTTCTCTCGCACCAACAAGCCTCGACACTCAGCCTCTTCTGGGACCAGATCCAGTTGTGAGCAGCACTTTTGTATACAATATCCCCACGAAGTGCCAGCTTTATTGTGCATGCAGTGGTCAGTATTGTATTGTACACATTATAACCAGATTGTGTACATTGTTGTACACATTAGTAACCAGATTGTACATTGCAAATGATATTGTAATTGTAAATGAGGAAGGGCAGATTGTATACAATTAAAATTGTACAAAATAAACTGCACTCAGCCAGAATTGAACCCTTGACCTCCCGGCACATGCTTACATAACCACATGTGACATGCATATATCCAACTGAACCATTTGTCCTTATCTGTCTTCTAAACTCAGTTCTATATAAGGCTATTGCCTCTACTCAAGATGTTGTAGTGTTTTGTAAGAACTACTACATTCTACTTATTACTGATGATCTAACCATCTACAAATATGTAGTTCATTTTTATTATAGCTTTATTACAACATTATAACATTTTTTAGTAGAGGCAATAGCCTTATATAGAATTGAGTTTACAAAACAGACAAGGACAAATGGCTCAGTTGAATATGTGCATGTCACATGTGCTTATATAAGCATGTGCTGGGAGATCAAGGGTTCAATTCTGGCTGAGTGTAGTTTATTTTGTACAATTGTAATTGTATACAATCTGCCCTTTTTCATTTACAATTACAATATCATTTACAATGTACAATCTGGTTACTAATGTGTACAACAATGTACACAATCTGGTTACTTTGTGTACAATACAATACTGACCACTGTGTGCACAATAAAGCTGGCACTTCGTGGGAATATTGTATACATTGGGGCTGCCTACTAGTGTCAGATCTTGGTCGAATGGGGAAAGCAGTGACCTCCGAGTGCTCCCGCTGGTGACAGTCCTGAGGAGAAGAAGCGCGTCGCCTCTGAGCAGAAGGTTCTCATGACGGTAAGCGATCATCACGAGGCATCAGTTAAGCACTTACCATCCCAATCAGCAATTGAAGGATTGGTTCCAGAATCACACGCGTGCTTCCACGATGAGAAAGGGGCACTCAGCAGTCTTGTCCCTGAAGCAGAAGGTCAAGCGCAAGCCTGAGAACTGGCAAGCTTACATGTTGACATACTGGGATCGCCTCAAGGATGACTGGGACGCCACATTCTCATGTGATGCCCTTGACTTCCCACCCAACACCATCATCACCAACTCTATGAAGTTCTCCCACCACTGTGTCTACGCAAAGAGTCGGTACGAAGCCATGCAGGATGACCCCGAGGTGAAGAAGACCATTCAGGAGTATCACGAGGAGTTCGACGAGTCGAACACGCACGCGAGACTTCTGCAGCAGTAAGTTTTTTTTTCTCATTTGAATTTATACTAATCTATTGCCTTATAGAAATATTGACGCACTGCGGCATACTGTGGAGATGACGCTGGACGAAATACAGCGTCAGATGGGCATGGTAGGCATTTTTTTAGTAGGAGGTCCGGAGCCCAGGAGAGGAGGTGATTTGAGATGTGATCAGTGAGTCTTATTGCTTATTGCTTTATTTACAGCCGCTTGACCTTGTTCTCTAGAATGGGAACACATACGAAGACGTACAAGAAAAACTTTATGCAACACCTGTCTAGCTTCGACGAAGACGTCTCGAAACCTTTTGGGCAGTATCTCGAGCTCAGCTTTCGTGAGTCTGCCCATTTTTTTTAAATTCGTGTTCTCATCATCAATATCCAGCTCTTCAGGCTCACCGCGAAGTAGTGTTACCCACTCCCATTACTGCCAATGCATCTACCCCCGTGGTGTTCATTTCCCAAGATGAGTCGGCCACTGCGATGTCCAATGTGAACAGCGATGCAGGAGGCTTAGTCAGCAAGTCTGCATCATCCAGCACCTCCATGGTAGTGGCTACAGCAACATCGACATCCTCGCGAATGGGAAACTCTGCCTCTGCCTCTGTGTCTGTGAACCCCTCGGTTGTGTCTTCCATCTCAGCGAGTGCGTCTGTCTCCATGCTCACTTCGGTGTCCGCATCCGATGGTCAGGTCACCGCGTCTGCCACAATCTCATCGCCAGCCCCCTCTCCTCATCGCTCCAGTCCCTTGCCATCCCTGCCGGCAACTCCGGTGTCTCGTTCACCCAGTATATCGCTCGAGGATAAGTGCCTCACGAACATCACTCGCAATTGAGAGATCTTGTGTAACCTGTCTGCCGAGCACGGCTTCGAACTCCCCATGCAGCAGCGCAGGAAGGGTGGACTGCAGAAGCAGCAAGTCAAAGGGCTTCCGGCCTCTCGTCGCTCTAGCAGACTCACCTCTGACATCGAGCCAACTAGTTCCGAGGCCAAAGGCCTCATTGGCCAGCCCGTCGACTTTATCCCCGCACATGACCCTGCCCCCATCGTTGACCCTGTCCCCGTGCATTTTCCTGCGCCTGTCCTCGACCCTGTCCCTGCACATGTCCCAGTCATGCACATCGACCCTGTCCCCGCGCATGACCCTGCACCCGTCGTTGACCCTGTCCCCGCCCATGTCCCGGCCGTGCACATCGACCCTGTTCCCACCCATGTCCCTGCACCTGTCCTTGACCCTGTCCCCGCCCATGTCCCAGCCATGCGCGTTGACCCTGTTCCCGCACATCTCTCTGCGCCTGTCGGCTTGGTCCTCGCGCATGCCCCTTCTGTGCACGTTGACTCTGTCTCTGCATCTGTGCTCGCACAAGTCCCTGCCCTTGTCGTCGACCCTATTCCAGTGTTCGTTGTCAACCCTGTCCCTGCGCGTGCCCCTGCTGTTCTCAACGATGACATGCTACCACCATGGCTGCAGAAGGCACTTGGTCACCTGCGCACGCTGAAGGGAGTATCTGGGTGGGAAGATATTCTAGTTCTTCTCGTCATGCTCGAACATCGGTCGGGTTACCCCAAAAAAAAGGTGCGTTCTGAGTTCGTGCAAGCGACACATCCATTATACTAACTATTCATACAGGCTCGCTACTCTAAGGACATCTACAAGTACAGGCCGGACGCACTCAGTGCGTGGATGGGTTACGGGCGCAAGTTCAACAGCCTACCCCATGGCATGGGAAAAGCATCGGAAATGCGGGTAGGATTTCACGAGTGGTGGGCTGCCTTGCAGCCTGCCACTAGGGCTGCCAGTGAGTGGCCATTCTCTCAAGACCGTGATGCATTATGGGGCACATGGGGTACCATAGCGCAGGCAGGTGATTTGGGATTTTTTTTGATCGTGATGTATCTCTGGTGGTGGGCTTCAGTGTTGGACAATGACAACAAGCAGCGGCAGTTCTCGGAGGCATTATCGGATGTGCGATGGATGCTGGAGGGGATCGTGCAAGATTTGGAGGCAGGGGCTTCTGACATCACAGCGGGATCTATTTCATCGAAACGCAAGTCTGAGACCCCACCAGCATGCGCGGCAAAGCGAGCGAAACAGTAGTAATGTCGTAGGGTAAAGAATGGCTTTTTAATGAATGTTTCGAATTCTCAAACATATGCCTAATAAGGAATTTCTCCTCAAATATGTTTTCTAAATGAGAGTCAGGCCGACATATGCCCAATAAGGATGTTCTCTTCGTATATGTTTTCTAGATGAGATCGACCCCGTGCTGAACCTGTGCCGAACATGTGATCAGGCCGCCCTATGCCATAGGCCTGGGAACTGTTTTCATCAGCACTGGGGCCGGGAGCTGTCCTAATATAGGCAGATCAGAGCCGAAGGCCAAGTAATACAAGCCTACTAACAGGTGAAGGCCAAGTAATACAATGGGGCCTTCTGTAATACAAGCCTACTGGTAGTTTGTATTACATGATGTCTAATAGCCTTGGTCTATATACACATTAGTGCACTGGATCATATCACCTTATGTATTACAGAGATGGTAAGTACTATTGGTCACCCACATCCACGACATTCTATTTCACATTACAGATAACCGTGATCCCCTTAATGACTGAAAGGTATAAAAGGAGGAGAAGACGATGTATCATCAATGCCCACTTCTGCTATTGACGACCTTGTTTACAACATACTTGCTGAAGTCGCTTCCATGATTATGGGTACCCTCGCATCACCTACACTTGTCAATGGAGTACCCTCTCGAACACAGACACCCTTTATCTGCGCTTCATCACCCTCACCATCAATCGAACTCAGTCACGCATCAGACGAACAAGAATTTGCTACATGTCTGATATCAGCCATCCACATTCCCATCAACTTCACAGACATTCTCGTTGCCCTACGAAATTGCCCGCAAGATCAACAAGGGGTGGTTTCTATGCAGCGAGCATTAGAAATGGTCGAGTGGATGCAGACGGCCAGACAAGAGCTTATCATGGCAGAGGAAAGAATGAGTAGAGCCTGAACCAGAGTTGACCAAGTCTGGTCTCTGATGCACAGTACGGTCACTCGTACAGCGCAGGAAATCTGGAGGGAGCATGAGGATGAAGACATCGGACACATCCTCGGATATACCATCAATGGAGCACCCGCATCCACTCCTCGTTCATCACCAGAACCAATTCCTGTTCGACCTCGCCCTCCTTGTTCACATGTACCTACTGGTCAATCCCCACTATTGCAACCCTCCTTCTCGCATGCATCGACTTCTTCACATCGCAGTCATCCCTATTGTGATGGACGTACACATGAACAAGGACCACGAACCGACCGGCGAACATGCTACAGATGTGGAGGTGATCATTATGTTCAAGACTGCCCCCGACGATGATAAAGACTACAATATTTCTTGTGGGACAAGAAATGTTAGACGGGAGCTGATGTTACAATGCTCCTCAGTTATGGCACGTCTTTTATTTTTCTTTTCTTCATTCCCTTTACTTTACCAGACCACGTGATCCAACACGTGACTCATCGGAGCGCAACCTCCAATTCTCTACCCAGATGACCAGAACCCCCAGTCTAGGGTTACACCAGATCCAACTCCAGACCTTCTTCTTATCACACATACAAGACGTGCATGTATGCCTCATCTTTACCTCGTTCTGATACACGACTCATTATCCCCATTAGTACTAATTATCTCTCACAATCTTACTCAGCTTTCCCATGCATATTACTTCCTCGCTGTTACCTCACCCAGACATCGTTTCACCTTATCTAGCCAATGAACGATCCCATATTACTGCGTAGTACTGCAGATACCTTTTGTATAAGTAGACGACCTCGTCGAGCTGGATCTCCATCTCGACCTGGTTACCATTAAACCAGCTTTTCACTTGCCTTTGACTGAGATCGACCGTTAGTAGCAAACAGCTACTGCGAGTCATAAGAACAAACTCTGATCGACCTTCAGTGCAAGGACATCGCCAGAAGTGTCTCTTGAATGGACTTGTGTCTTAGACTAAGACCTTGTCTCGTGACGACTTGACTTGACGCTCGTGTTTCGCTGCCGTGTAACAGTCGTGACAGGATAAGCGCCCTCTAGAGCTTATCCTGTATAAGAATGATTCTTTCGTACCTCAGGAATCATAACTATCAGTTTGTAATAGGCTTACAACAGTCACCTGGTATCACTTTATAAGAGTCTTCAGTAATCTATAGTAGTGTTCTAATACACTATCTGTAAGATGCTTACAATAGTCGAATATACCATTAACTGCTAGTTGACAATTACAATACACTACAAAGTGTTATATTGACCTCCTAGTATGTTGTCTAGTAATGTTTAGTAAGCCTTCTACAACATCTTATTATGCCATTTATTGAATTCTAGTACAACCTCTAGTATTAGTTTGCAAGAACCTTAGAATGACCTACAAGACTGCCTAGTTACCACTATAATGGAATGCTATACTGTCTACTGACACCTAGGATGACATCTAGTATGAGTTTCTAAGGACCTTACATCATATCACAATTTTCCTGGTATTTGTGCGATTTTTCCGAATTTTATTGTAAGTGTTTGCTCCAGCCACAAGTCACATTTCATATCGGTGTTAACGAGACGACAAAAACTCGTGCTGCCACGTGATACAGCACGAGTTTTTGTCGTCTCACTAATGCCCAAATAGGCGCTGTGGCACGAAACTTGTGTGACATGTGACAAGTTTAAGTACTTCCAGCCAAACTTGCAAGGCTTGTGGTCTACTCAATTCTGCTCGGATTTTGATGAACCCGGTAGGCATTCTGACCGTATTTTTAAGCTGAATGTGATGGTATCACTTTCAAAACATCAGAATCACTTTCTGCAGTGCTACAATTCAATTTCTCTGTTTTCTCTCACTTCTGCTTGTTTCTTCAATGTGTACTGCTTGTAATAAATAAGGTGCCCTATCTAACATGTACATGTATATTATAGGATTATTCCACAATTTAACTGGCATTTTTACAATTTTTACAATTCCTGAGGTACGAAATAATCGTTCTTATGCCGGATGAGCCCTTAATGGGCGCTTATCCCGTGACGAACTTCTGACCAAACCGTGGGAACAAATCTTGACTACAACTTTGTATGGGTGACCTGAGGTTAGGGTTACCTCGAGTTACAAATTTGTATTGGTGACCTGAGGTTAGGGTTACACTCGAGCTAATTACTCTGCTTACTTGACTACAACTTAAACTACAAGCGGACTTTCAAAACAGTTGTATTGAAAACTGACGCGACTTGTACAAATAGCTATCAACAGATGGGCAGCTGTGGCACTTAAATTAGATAACAGATATCAGCCGTACTTCAATACACATTAAGATTGGCCTTGACACTGTGAGCGCAATCACAGAGGCACATGAATGTCTATATTAAGTGTGATGTGTGTATCCCAGATGCAAGATGCTCCTGTAGTTGTGATCGTTAGCTATGGGTGCAATCACAGGGACATGCAGATGTTTATATCAAGTGTGATGCGGGTATGTCATCGTGACTGTTAGTTGTGGGCATAATCGCAAGGGCACATGAAAGGAGGTGTCCTTGCAGTGCAGATATCTTTCTGAAGTGTAATGTCTAAATGGTCAGAAATGTCTCATGTGGCACACACCTAGGATTGTGTCCCTTAGTTGCAGTTATGACCACAGGCATGTGGAAATGTGCATATCGCCCGTGAGGACTTATATTACAGCGGTCGGTGTGATTGCAATTCAGAAGGACCCATGATGACAGATGAGTGCAGAGTAGCGAGGTAGGAAGGGGATTTTTTTGACAATGCATGAAGACTATTGATATAAGTCACCATCTAAGGGGTAGTGAGAGATACAAAAGGGGCCTATCTCCTGCTCCTGTGTATTGATCGTCTGCTAAGTGTAGGATGGCTGTAACACTTAGATTAGATAACAGATAACAGCTTTACTTCAATATACATTAAGATTAGCTTCCACAACTTGTTATAGTCACATCTGGGCATTGAGACTATCACCATTAAATTCAGGTGAAAAATTAAACCGAATTCACACCCTGAAACATCAAATTCTGTTGAGATTTAAGTGAGAAACGACCTCGACAGCACTGAGATAAACCAAAAGAAAAATGCTTGGTCATACCCAATTGGGCAACTGACTTACATAAGGTACCCATGACTCCCCGGGTCATGCTCCGATTTTTTTCGCATTTTTCCGCATTTATTTGAGGTTTTTAACCCCAAAATACACTTGCCTAAATCCGAAAAGTCAGTTGCCTTTGCAGTGCTTCCGCGCGCCCCTGTGATCGTGCCCGCAACTTACGGTCATGACCACAGGGGCACCCTCATTAGGGTGTTCTGCCGGAACTAATCCACTTGTAGGTAACGGCGATGCTTTCGCACGCTCACGCCGATTCCCTGCTTAAGTTGAGGTGGAATGTATTTTGAATGAAAGCAACGCACTTCAGGGGCATATGGTGTACAAAGTGAATAATATATGAAAAAGATGAAATACACTGACGTGACAAAAATAAACTACATATTAAATACATGAGGAATAGGCCGATAACTCTAAATACGTACAGTAACAGTACTAAATATACTCTTCGATATCTTTGCGCGACGTTGTGGGTAAGTCATCCTCCAGACCTATAAAGAGCAATGCGATACTTAGTAGTTTCAGTCCCATTCTCCACCTGTTCCATCCGGCATCATTATAAGATGCTTTCCCATCAGCGTCAGTTTTCCAACGAGTAACATGGCATTCAATTAGCACCAGATCATTCTTGCCTACCTGATTGGCGTGTAAACTTTGCATGGTGTCTTTTGGCCTGAACTGTTTGGTCGCATCGTACAGCCGCTCGAAAGGAAATGACTGTTTCGCGTTAGAAGTGACATGTACACAGCGTGAGAACACATACCGTGGCTTGGTCAGTACCTTTGAGATTTTTCGACTGTGATCGACTTGCACGCACGACGTCAGCCGCATTTTTACCTGCAAACAATTAGCATATGTAATTAAAGTTCAACTGCACTCACCAGAGGTGTTGCGCGCATTACTTTCAAGCATATTGTTGCAAGCAGTAAAGTCTTCCGCGATGATTGGCAGAATGCGGATGCTGACATTAGGTTGTGGCGATCCACAACAACAGATGAAGGTGCAAAGTAAGACGTCCTTGCGACTCAACGGTCCCATAATAAGCCACGGTCCGACCAAACAGTCCATCTGCCCCAGAACCTGCACGCAAAATATTCTTAATGAATGAGCGCACCATCAGATCAAAAAATCGCGCACACGCCACTGGATTTTTAGCAAGCGTGCGCAGACGTGCTTGAGCATTCAGCATGTTTGGAGAATTGTCAAATAAATTGATCGCTTTGCCGCAGTAATACAAACAAATCGGATGTTTGAAATCCACAGGTGCGAATGTTATAAAAAATGTTGGAACACCCTCCACCAAAATTAAAGACTTGATTTCATTGCACTGGTACTTGCGCTGCATAGTTGAACTGGGCACATGTCCGCCTACATGGTCAATAATACTAATTAGTTCAAAACATGCCTTCTCGGCATCACTCTTAGGATGCAGGTACACACTGGCACGACCGCAATCAATTAATGGCTGAAGAACTTCCTGATCAATATTAAGGATTTTCTCCACCACTGCAGGAAAATGACATCTTTCTGTGAGTAAATAGCCTCCACGCGTGCTGTCTCTGATCTGCTCCTGGTTAAAAACAATAAACGGGAAAAACTCATCAGTCTGAAACCGTCGATCCGCGTACGTCAGCAGATGCCATATGTGTCGCGCGCGTTCCAGTCGAGTCTGGATCAAAATGTTCTCAAATCTGCCACGTCTGTACGGAAATAACCATGGGAACACACCGGGATACAACTGAGGATTATGGTACATAGAAGCGGGATCGCGTTCATGTCCATATGCAAGGACTTCACCTCCACCCTCGAAATAGCTCAATGCAGTGGCAATCCTCTCCTCATAGGACATACTGACCAAGTCTGTAAAAGTCATGGCATGCACGGCAAAGGGGCATTCACCATCTTCGACGCCTCATTCCAACTCGTTGTCATTTGAAGCGACGGACGCAGCAGGGGTAGAACCCGAACTGGGATGGTGCACAACGTAGACCGATGGCTCCTCTTCGGAGTAAGAAGCAAGATTAGAGTGTGATATTTGAATATCTTCATAATCACAATGATTCAACCGCAACCAACGCAGTGCGTTCAAAATGATGGTGTGGCGCACAAGTAAAGGCATACATTTGTAGTCTGCGGGAGAGGGTTTGCACGGACCAGTGAATAATACTGCAAGGCACTTATCCAGATCCTCGCGAGGAGGAGGCAAAATATTATGTAGCCTTTCCACCGGTTGTGGAAACACGACAGCATTAGCCGAGAGTTTGCGCTGACCCATGTTTACCTGCACGACAAAGTAGTTATGCCGGTAGTGGGCGACGATGAGTTTTTCGATGAAATTCAACTGCTGAAGCTCGCTAGGCACATCACCCAACCATAAGCCGTTGGTGAGAGACTGCCAAGGCAGATCTCCATGAGCAACGGTCTTCATGCATGATGTACAAGCGCGAAGCTCAGGAGAATCTATTCCCATGAGTATTGGGCCTTCCAACTCGATAACCGGGTCTTCGGAATTATGATGTTCACATCGGGTGACCCCTTCGCCAAAGTGCGACAACACGGATAGATTTAAACTGTGTGATGGCACGGTGGACAGATCACTGATTAGCACTAATTCACCACAGATCACGCATGGAGCCTCAGACAAAGCAGCCGGCCCCATAAATTCGCACCAAGTGCGAACAAAATCTGTGAGGTCCGAGTGAGAAAGTGGTTGCGGAGGGAAAGGGCTCGATTCTGCAGAATTATCTGACGACGCAGCAGGTGTCGTGAAAGATGCAGGTGATGACTCCACAACATCAGAAGGCGAGGAAGCCAATACAAACACAGATACCAGTTGTGAACAGATTTCATCACAGCGATGACCACGAACAATGACCACCAGTCCATCTAAGCTACGTGTGCTGCATCCAAGGCAAATTTAATGCTGACGAGCAACAGCAAACAGAGAGCGATAAGGCAGCATACTCACAAGAAAACTGAATGTCATGCATACAGCTACAGCGTACGCATTTGGTGCACACTGATGAAACCAAACTGGAGGATGTCTGACACAGAAAGTGCAAAGAAGTTGTCACTGACAAGTATTGCACACAGCCGCCTTCTGCAGCAAATGTGCATAGTTGGGATGAATCAACTGCACATGTACGCTGCTGAGCCTCGCCGACACAATGCGGCGAGCTTGCATAATGACAATGACAGTAATACCCTATGCAACGACGCATGGTAAGAAAAGTCACACCGACGATGGTGACAAGCATAAGATAACAAACATCGCGAGAAACAGCTGTCGAAATTGAGAAATATGCCAAATGATATGAATGACAAAATAACTCACCGAAAGACAACGAAAACACCAAAATGAGGACGACAAAAGCACACAAAAACGACATCGGTGAAAATTTCACGGTGTGATGAGTGGAGAGTACTGAGAGGAATGGGCGTCGAGATCGTGGCATATACACGTAAATCAAATTGAACCCGTGGCGCATCCTTTTTGTTTTTGTCTGGCAAGCATGTGGATGGATCATGGATGGGGAGACTGGATTCTAAAGACACATATGAAGGCTCGTTAGATGCATGCGAAGTGTCAGAATGCACAGTTTCACCTCGGGCTACTCAACTGGCAATATCTTCCATTGAACCGGTAGAGAAATCACCAGTATGACAGGCCTCCAGCCATTCGATAAGCTGTATGCGGAGAACATCATCAGCTAAAAGTCGGTCTCTAATTTCTTGCGGACTCAAGCAGGATGCAATCCATAATAACAAATGGAGATGCAAGGTAAGATGACCTTGCTACTCGACGGTCCCATAGTAAGCCGTGGTTCGACCAAACAGCCCGTCCACGCCTGAACCTGCACGCAAAATATTCTTAATGAAGGAGCGGACCATTAAGTCAAAGAAACGCGCACATGCCACTGGATTCTTAGAAATGGCGCGTAGACGTGCTTGAGCATTCGGCATGCCCGGAGCATTTTTAAACAAATTAATCGCTTCGCTGCAGTAATATGGACAAATCGGATGTTTGAAATCCACGGGTGCGAATGTGATAAAGAATGTTGGAACACCCTCCACCAAAATGAGAGACTTGATCTCATTGCGCTGATATTTGCGCTGTGTAGTTGAACCAGGCACATGACCGCCTACATGGTCAATGATACTGAGTAGTTCAAAGCATGCTTTCTCCGTGTCGCTCTCAGGATGCAGGTACACACCGGCACGACCGTGATCGATCAACTGCTGAAGAACCTCATGATCGATATTAAGAATTTTCTCCACAACTGCAGGAAAGTTTCACCTTTCTGTGAGTAAATAGCCTCTGTGCGTGCTGCCTCTAATCTGCTCCTGATTAAAGACAATAAACGGGAAAAACTCATCGATCTGAAATCGTCGATCCGTGTACATCAGCAGGTGATGTATGTGCCGAGCGCGTTCTAGTCGAGTCTGAATCAAAAAATTCTCAAATCTGCCCAGTCCGTATGGAAATAACCACGGAAACATACTGGGATACAACTGAGGGTTGTGGTATATTGAAGCGGGATCACGCTCATGACCATATGCGAGTACTTCTCCACCACCCTCGAAATAACTCAATGCAGTAGCTATCCTCTCCTCGTAGGACATACTGACCAAGTCCGTACCGGTCATGGCATGCACGGCAAATGGGCAATCCCCATCTTCGATGCCCCTTTCTAAATTGTTGTCATTTGATGCGACAGATTCTGCAGGAGTAGAGCCAGAACCTGGGCAGTGCACGACGTAGACTGGGGGCTCTTCTTTGGAGTAAGAGACAAGGTTAGACTCTGATATTTGAATATCAGCGTAATTGCAATGGTACAAGTGCAACCAATGCAATGCATTCAGAACAACGGTATGGTGCACAAGCAGAGGCATACATTTGTAATCTGTGGGGGTGGGTCTGCACGGGCCAGTGAATAATACTGTGAGGCATTTATCCAGATCTTCGCGAGGTGGGGGTAGAACATTGTGGAGCCTTTCCACAGGTTGTGAAAACACCACAGCATTAGCTGAAAGCTTGCGCTGGCCCATGTTTACCTGCATGATGAAATAGTTGTGCCGGAATCTGGCTACGACAAGTTTTTCGACAAAATTCAAACATTGAAGTTCGAGAGGCACAGCGCCCAACCATAGGCCATTGGCGAGGGACTGCCGAGGCAAATCTCCGCGGGCAATGGTCTTCATGCAATGTCCACAAGCATGAAGTTCAGGTGAATCTGTTATAGCAAGTATCTGGCCTTCTAACTCCAAAACCGGATCATCTGAATTACAACGTTCACGTCGGGTGACACCCTCGCCGGTTCGCAACAACACAGATAGATTCAAACTGCATGAGGACACTGTGGACAAGTCACTGAGCAGCACTAGTTCACCACAGATAGCGCACGGGGCCTCAGACAAAGCAGCTGGTCCCATAAATTTGCACCAAGCACGAACAAATTCTGCAAGGTCAAAATGAGAAACTGGTCACAGAGGAAAAGGGCTCGAGACCGCGGAAGGGGCAGGTAATGACTTCACAGGGTTAACTGCTGAAGCGCGCAGCAGCTCATTACCAACATTGACAAGTTGGAAGGTGAGGCAGCCAAAATGAACACAGTTGACAGTTGTGAGCAGATCTCGTCACAACAGTGACCGCGAATAACACCTATCAATCCTTCTAAACTATGCGTACTGTGTCCAAGGCAGATTCGATGCTGACGAGCAATGGCAAACAATGCGCGATAAGGTAGTGTACTCACAAGGAAACTAAACGTTATGCAGACTGCGACAGCGGATGAATTTGAGTTGCACATCGATGGAATCAAGCTAGAGGGTGCCTGACACAAGAAGCACAGAGGGATCGGTACTGACAAGTAATGAATAGAGCCACTTTCAGCTGTGAAGGCGCGTAGTTAAGCCGAATCAACCGTGCACGTACGCTGCTGAGCCCTGCCGACACAATGTGGTATGATCGTATAATGACGACCAGCACAGTAACAACCTATGCAATGATGCATAGTTAATATAGTCACTCCAACAATGGTGACGAGCACAACATAATACGCATCACAGGAAACAGCTGTCAGAATTGAGAAATGTGCCAATCAAGGTGAGTGAAAGATAACTCACCGAAACACAAACATAACACGAACACAAAGAGGATGAAAGACAACATCGGTGAAGGTTTCAGAATGTTGAATGTGTAAGTATAATGTGAGTGATGTGTAATCACAGCAGTGGGCATAGTATATAAGCGGATCCAAAAAAGCGTGGAAAGCGGATCCAAAAAAGCAGATGAACGAAAATGAATTAAATCCGTGGCGGGCGCTGAAGATTCGCATCCCGGCTCGCAGTCATTCAGCAGAGCCCACTACGTGACGCCACCAACTCAGTAGCAATTATCCTCTGGTGCGGCTTCATTCTGTTGCACCGTCGTCCACCGGAGTAGTGTCCTCCACTCAGTCCGTTTCACCGACCCCTGCTACCCCACCTACCCTGTGTCAAATCCGGTCTGCAGTCAACCAACGCCTCGCATCCGCTGATTCTACTGTTCGCAACACCTATTACGAGTGTGCCGCAGAGCTGGACCGTGTTCTGCTGGGAATCAACAACCCCTCTGGCACTGTTGACATGGCAGCCGAAACTGTACCTATCGCAGCTCCATTGTTCCAGGCACCCAGTATGTCAATTTCGATGCTCATTTACTACTTGTTGAGTTTCGTTCTCCGTTGCTCGTCAAGCCATCTTTGTTTGCCACTGAGCAATATTCACATGCTCGTCGAGCGATATCTCCTCGCTCTTTGAGCAACATCTACTTGCTCGTTTAAAGATATGCATCTACGCGCAGAGCAGCCCACTGAGCAATTCTCCTTTTGCTTGTTGAGCCAGATCATCTTACCCCATGCTCATTGAGTCATAGTGCTCATTAAGCCTCAAATCCTTTCTTTTACAATCTTTTGAACCACCCCTGGTTCCGCCTCTGATGCTCATACCTGGTCCAGCGCAAGCTCTCATAACAATGCTCCCACATATCATCTTTGGCATGACCACCTCAGCCCGCTGTTTTATAGATGCCACTGTGAACGTACCAACAGTTTTTCCTTGCACTGCATACATTGATGACTTGTAACAGTTTCATGACCACACTTCCTTTTCGTCATACAAGCACACCCCCTTTTACCTTAGGTCATTTTCATACAGTTCTTGTCTGTTGTTGCCAGTACGATCATCAACATGCATATTAATCATTTTTTCATGTCACCAGCTGGTGCCGCCATAGCCGTGCTGAAACCATATGCATTTCCCGAGGAAGACATTCTCCTTGACGCCAATGTTCTACCTGATCCGCCGGCTGTCGTAAAGCACATGAAAGTGGGCTGGTCTGAGCACATTCCTCTTACTGCCTTGACTAACCAAGCATGTCAGACGGCATACAACAGGTCTCAGAACGGAAAGGATGTCCTAAAGTTCGAACATGGTATCATTAAAGTTGGACACGCACCCCTTAATGCATCTCGGGAATGGTGGCTAACCCTTGCTGAGTTTATCGAAGCATACCCACATTTGATTCGAATCATCCGCCTCCACTACTCTCACCCCCAGGCGATTTGAGACCGACTTGCTGACGAGTTTACATGCCACTATCAATACATCCTTGCTAGACCCGATTTTGCTCAACTCACTAGGCTATATGTCGAGTATGATCACCAAATCTGACAGCGCCATGTCAGCAGTGATGTAGCCTTTCACCCGTCCACATGGCAAATACACATCTGGGCCGCCATCATGAATGGATATGTTCTAGGTGCTGTCGCAGGGGAGTACAACTGACAGGGCTACCCAGTCGAGTCATCTGCACCACCGGCAGCCTCTTCCAGCTCACATACACATACACAGTGTCCACAACCTTCGCAATCATCACATTCCTTTCGAACCAACCACAGAGCGACAAAAAATTGCGAAACAACGGATGGCTGAGAAAACCAGCCGGTGGTCACTGTTTCCTCTGCGGCTCATTGGAACACTTATCCCATGCATGCCACGAATCAAAACTACCCTACGCAGCATGACCTGACCAATCCAAGTCTGCCACCCTGCCAAACGGAGACAAATTCTGTTTTGCCTTGAACAAGTGCAACCGTGCACATGTCTGCTCCCTCTGCAGATGAACGAGCCACAGCGCTCAGACCTGCCATTCAATCTGAGTTCAGTCCCATCATCACGCCATTGCACTGGGACGCATGGCACGATGAACTCCAAGCAGCCAACTGCCTGGATGAGTTTGGAGATGTTCCGATTGGCATCTGTGATGGTTTTCGTATCGACGTTACCTCTCACCTCACCGTATCTTACTTTTCGCCTAATCATAAGTCAGCTTGAGATCACCCGGAAGTGATCCAAGCTAACATTGACTCTGAACGACTTGCACGATGATACAGTGGCCCTTTCCATCCCTCATGTTTAGAGCACCTCATTGGTCCCTTTTGTTCCTCACCACTTGGTACCGTTCCCAAAGCTAACAGTCCCGGGATTTTTCGTATCATTCAAGATTTCTTCTTCCCTCATAATGACCCTGCGCTACCTTCCATCAACTCCGAAATCAACTCCGATGATTTTCCTTGTGACTGGGGAATGTTTATCGCCTGCACCCTACTTGTCATCAATGCACCTCCGGGAACCCAGGCATCCGTCAACAATGTCAAGAAGGCCTATCGGTGCATTCCTACCTGAACACTAACCACACGTCATCATCATGTAGGACAATGCAATGTACATGGACCATTGCGCAGCATTTGGAACGTCCAGCACTCCTGGCATTTTTGGCCACATCGCAGATGCTGCCATAAAAATTTTCCGCCATCACGGCGTGCAGGATCTCGTCAAGTGGGTTGATGATTTCGTGTTCTTCCACTACCCTGTCAGCACTAATCCTGATGGCAGCCATGTCTTCTCATATGATGAGTCCCTTTTCTTCTCCATTGCCGATCATCTCGGCTGGCCATGGTCTTTGACAAAACATGTCCCCTTTGCTACCACTTTCAACTACAATGGTTTTCACTGGCACATCGCTAACCGAACGGTAAAAATCCCCGAGAAGAAAAAGACAAAGTACGTTGGGAAACTAGCGGACTGGACTGAAGGTGAATCGGTCACTAGGAAAGAGTGCGAGGGCATCGTTGGAATGCTCAACCACTGTTGCCTAGCCATCCCAGAAGGCTGCTCTCACCTCCCCTCCTTCTACCGTCTTGCTGCATCATTCGAGTCAGCGAAATCCAAGTATGTTCATCACCGCATCACGGCGGCATACCTCACCGATGTCGCATGGTGGCGCACTTGACTCTCCCAATCTTTCTGCGGATCCAAACTCTTCATTCCCCCTGATGCAAATGATCTCTCTGTATACATCGATGCCTCATCCTCGTGGGGCATAGGCCTCATTGTCAATGGACACTGGCTGGCCTGGCACCTGAAAGAGGGCTGGAAATCGGAAGGGCATGACATAGGCTGGGCAGAAATGGTTGCTGTCGAACTCGCAGTCCACCATCTGACAGCTGGCGGTGTCACGAACATTCGCATTCTCATCTATTCGGACAATAAAGGCGTCATCGGAGCCCTCAATGCCGGCTGCTCTCGCAGCATACAGCAGAATCGCATTTTACAACACATTGTTTCTCTCTTTATTTCTCATGGCATTTGGGTCCATACCGAGTACATACCATCAAAACTTAATCCCATGGATGCTCCTTCCCGTGGACACCTCCCTTCCCAATCTCAAAAGTTACCTACGTTATTTTGGCTTCCAAGCCACCTCACCGCTTTTCTTTTACCTGCATAATCCCACATACCTGTCTGTTGCGATACCCATGTAACACATACAAATTATGTAATCCAAACCATTTTCGCATTGAAGCCTTAACTCTACACCATCTCAACACAGAACCATGTCCACCGAACAGGCTGTCTTTGCACTACACGTTTATGCACACATTATGACAATGTGTAGCTGCACAAGCCTCAACCAAGGATACAGCAAACTCCTCGAAACACATTCCACATCCCGCTGATATGCTCCCAGACCTCCTGGCCTCTGAAAATGTGTTTTCCAGTGGTCGCTCATACCTCACTACTCTATCCCTTAGCCTCCAAGATACATCCGACTCTTTCGCGACCCCCGGCGAACTTTTGTGACTTCGCGACTTCGTTCGAAGCAACTTCGTTCGACTTCGCTCAATTCATCGCGACTTCGCACCGAGATTCGACACTGTTTCATCACTCATACGCCACTCTTGCATCTCCTCACAGTCGGATACCACTTACCCGTTGTCCTTTGGTCTAGTTCGATGCGCCCTGGTTGATTCCCATCTAAGTCCGTACTTCCCCGACGTCGCACCGCCTTCTGGATGTCACACTGACTCGCTGGTTCATCGCGCCGACTTATCGGTGTCGCACGATGGTCATGACCTCTTCCTTTGCAAATCCCATTCCTTTTATTGTTCGACTTTCCCCTCCAAGACCCCTACCTTCATGCTGGACCGGAGATGCCGTTAGAGTGTTCCATGTGGTTCAGGACAAGTAACATATGTTTTCTTTCGATTTTTCCTCTACTTTACCATTCTTCTCTGTTGCTAACATACAACATTCACCTCTCCACACCCTTTACCTATTTTTCCATTGGTCCTAGACCATTGCGACTCTCTCCGATGTCAGGATTCATCTTCTGACATTTCATGACTTTCGCATTTCACCTCCCCCATTTTCCCCTCTATAAATATCTGCTGTATCTACATCGATTATCATCGAAGACCAGTAGGAGATTTCCCCCTTCACTTCAGATTACCGAGAAACTGTGTTTACTGCGATAGCGACTTCGAACTGTGATATACCCCACTGCGACATAGCGACACTGTGACACTGCAACATAGCGACACTGTTATACTTCGAGAATGCGTACTGCGACTGCGATAGCGAACTGCGACACTGTGATAGCGACATAGCCAAATAGCGATAGCGACCTGCATTAGTCTTAAATCCGACTTTTGCGTTAGACTGACTGCGACTTCATCGAGACGGCGAATACTGTGTTCCCCCTAGCGTTCTACCCCACTTCAGGGTACCCTTCTGACCTAGCTCTTAGCTTCAACATAATCTATATTGTGTAGTGGCTAAGAGCCGCTCAGGTGTCAGACAGACCATGGTACCAATACATGTCCCAGGGCATTATATGGGATTACCCAGGGCAAAGGCAGGGCAAAGGCTGGTCCAATGGCACAATTATTATATGGGATGCCCTATAGTACTAGGGCATTGATATTTATATTCCAGTATTACTGGTTGTCCCATGGTGCCAGGGGTACATAGGGATGTCCCACTATTAGTAAAAGATGTATTTTTAGGCTATTGTATGGTAGTTTTTTTATACTTTGTTCTACAATCATATTGTATAAGCTCTAATTATTAAAAAAAGTCACACCTTTCAGTCATGTTACCTGAACTGAACTCCCATTTACCCTGACATTGTCATGAACTGGACAGCCGGCGAAGGACAGCTGGCGGACGTCAGCCCATCGTCACCATATTGACCTCTACCAGCAGTGGGCCCATATCTTTCATGTGTGGGATACCAGCAGTGGGCCCACTGCTAGTGTTCTTCTCCTAGTGCTCAGCCCACTAGCAGGGCATATTACAGTGTTGTAACTATTAAGCAATGGGCCCACCGCCACAGGTCAGAAGGTGGGCCGATGCCAGAGCATATTATCGCCATCAATGGGCCCACTGCCAGAGCATGTTACCGCCATCAATGGGCCCACCGCCAAAGTGTGATCAATGAGCAGTGGGCTCACCGCCAAAGGTCGGAGTGTTGGCCAACGCCAGAGCATGTTTCTCTGAGCAATGGGCCCACTGCCAGAGTGTGATGAATGAGCAGTGAGCTCATCGCCAAGAGTGTAAGATGACTGATGGGCCCACTGCCAAAGGTTAGAGGGTTGACAATTGCCAGAGCATGTTATCACCAGCAATTGGCCCATCACCAAAGCACCCTCAGTGAGGGCCTTACTGCAAGCACTCATGGGATAGGTCATCACCAGGACATGTTTCCACCAGCAATCGGCCCACCGCCAAAGGTCAGAGGGTTGGCCAATGCCAGAGCATGTTTGTCTGAGCAATGGGCCCACTGCCAGAGTAGTCAAAGGTCAGAGTGTTGGCCATCACCAGAGCATGTTATCGCCATCAATGGGCCCACTGCAAAAGTATGATTAATGAGCAGTGAGCCCATCACCATGAGTGTAAGATGAAGGATGGGCTCACTGCCAAAGGTCAGAGGGTTGGCCATCACCAGAGCATGTTATCTCCACCAATAGGCCAATAGCCAGAGTACAATAGCTGAGCATTGGGCCCATCTCCAAGAGTATCAAATGAAAGATGGACCTACTGCCACAGGCCAGGGGGTAGACAATTGCTAGGACATGTTTCTCTCAGCAATGAGCTCACTACCAATGTACAATGAATGAGCAGCGGGCCCATCACCATAGGGGTATGTCTGAGCAGTGGGCCCATCATCATGATGCTATTATTTACCGATGGGCTCACCACCATAGGGGTACCTCTGAGCAGTGGGCCCACCGACATGATGTTATTAGTCAGTGATTGGTTTACCATCATAATGCTGGCAGTGCCTGCACTCAGCAATTCACCTAATTGCTAACCTGACACTACATCACTGGTGGAGTTTTTACAACATGGAGTCCTGTCTGAAACTTATTGTAGCTATCATATAGAGTGCAGTGCCACCATTTTATGAGTTCCTGATATATGGCAAACCATGGCTTTACATTCTGGTGATGGCGAGACTCAATTTTCCAAAAAGTCGCCAACTTGGCTCTCCTTATCTGGCGAAGTTTGTCAAACTTGGGTCTGAAACTTGGAGAAGAGGATTTATAAATACCATTTTATGAGTTCCTGATATATGGAGAGTCATGGCCTCGCATTCTGGTGATGGTGTGACTCAACTAGTAAAAAACTCACCATTCTGGCTCCCCTTCTTTGGCAAAGTGTGTTAAACTTAGGACACTGTCTGAAACTTGTAGAAGAGAATTTATAAAGTGCAGTGCCACCATTCTATGAGTGCCTAGTATATGGCAAGCCATGGCTTTACATTCTGGTGATGGCGAGACTCAATTTGCCAAAAAGTCGCCAACCTGACTCTTCTTCTCTGGCGAAGTTTGTTAAACTTGGACGACAGTCTGAAACTTGTAGCAGAGGATTTATAAAGTTAAGTTCCATCATTTTATAAGTTCCTAGTATATGGCAAGCCATGGCTTTACCTTCTGGTGATCGCAAGACTCAATTTGCCAAAAAGTCGCCAACCTGGCTCTCCTTCTCTGGTGAAGTTTGTTAAACTTGGAGGACTGTCTGAAACTTGTAGCAGAGGATTTATAAAGTCAAATTTCATTATTTTATGAGTTTTTAGTATATGGCGAGCCATGGCTTTACATTCTGGTGATGACAAGACACAATTTGCCAAAAAGTCGCCAACCTGGCTTTCCTTCTCTGGCGAAGTTTGTTAAACTTGGAGGTCTGTCTGAAACTTGTAGAAGAGGACTTATAAAGTGCAGTGCCACCATTCTATAAGTTCCTAGTATATGGCGAGCCATGGCTTTACCTTCTGGTGATCGCAAGACTCAATTTGCCAAAAAGTCGCCAACCTGGCTCTCCTTCTCTGGTGAAGTTTGTTAAACTTGGAGGACTGTCTGAAACTTGTAGAAGAGGACTTATAAAGTGCAGTGCCACCATTCTATAAGTTCCTAGTATATGGCGAGCCATGGCTTTACCTTCTGGTGATCGCAAGACTCAATTTGCCAAAAAGTCGCCAACCTGGCTCTCCTTCTCTGGTGAAGTTTGTTAAACTTGGAGGACTGTCTGAAACTTGTAGCAGAGGATTTATAAAGTCAAATTTCATTATTTTATGAGTTTCTAGTATATGGCGAGCCATGGCTTTACATCCTGGTAATGGTGTGACTCAACTAGTAAAAAACTCGCCATCCTGGCTCTCCTTCTTTGGTGAAGTTTGTTAAACTTGGAGCACTGTCTGAAACTTGTAGTAAGGGATTTATATAGTGAAGTGCCACCATTCTATGAGCTCCTGGTATATGGCGAGCCATGGCCTCACATTCTGGTGAAGGTGAGACTCAACCAGTAAAAAACTCAGCAATCTGACTCTCCTTCTCTAGTAAAGTTTGTCAAACTTGGAGGACTGTCTGGGATTGATAGTAGCTGCGGTATCAAGTGAAGCACCATCATTGTTTGAGTTTCTTGTAGTTGGGAGCTATGGCTTAATATCCT